TCAGGAAAAAAAAAAAGATACAGAATGATAAGGAAAGAAAAGTACTCATTGAATTTGAATCTGCTAAGGTTATTGTGAGTCTTAGGAAAGCAATGTCAGTCAAGTGGTGGGCTGTGGTGGGGTGGGTTGAAGACCAAAATAAGCCAAATTATGGTAGGTTGAATTAGAGACCAACCACAGAGGAGTGTAGATGGGAAGCATTTAGGACTCTTCCAAGGAGCTTTCCTTTGAAAGGAGATGAGAGTGAGCTGGAGGGCAGTAGTTAAAGGGGAGAAGGGGGTCTTCAGAGAAGCTGTTTTTGGAAAGTTTGGATGAGGTTAAAGAGAGCAGGAGAGCATGCTTATGGGCCAAGGGGAAGCCAGAGAGAGAGGGAGGATGACATCATAGGGGATTGAGCAAAGTTGCTAAGGAGGCAGGAAGACAAGTGATACAGATGAGGCCCACTGCATTAGACCCAGAAATGTTTTCTTATTCTAGTTTCTTCACCACCAGTTGATGAATATCCGTAAGACACAATTTTTAGGATAGATTTAGTAAATTGGATTGAGAACACTTCTTACACATTTTTGTACCCCCCACCATAGTACGTTAGATGTGGCAGGTATACCTACAATTCTCTTTTATTTTTTTGAGACAGAGTCTTGCTCTGTTGTCCAGGCTAGCATGCAGTGGCATAACTACAGCTCACTGCAAGTTCGGATTCCTGGGCTCAAGCGACCTTCCCACCTCAGCCTCCTGAGTAGCTGGGACTACAGGTGTGCACCACCACGCCCTGCTGATATTTTTCTTTTTTGTGGACATGGGGTTTCTCTATGTTCCCCAGGCTGGTCTTGAACTCTTGGGCTCAAGCAATCCTCCCTCCTTGGCCTCTCAAAGTATTGAGATTATAGGGGTAAGCCACCACATCCAGCCTGACTACAATTTTTAAATTCATTAAATCATTCCTCTGATGAATAATTAACAACCCCCGTTGTTTACAGGGAATACAGGTAGAAGCTAGCTCAAGTCCTTCAGAATTTGGCTAAAATCTTGGCCTCCAGCTGGCTTCCACTGCAGCCTCCCTCTCCAGTCAGTTGTGTTGGCAGTGTTGGCTCCCTCTGCTGTGTTGGCTTGCCTAGGAACATGACTCGCCCATCCTTCTGCCTTTGCCCTGCTCCCACTCCATCACTGTATCACAGTACCCTTTTCACATAGAGTAAGACTAAGACTAAAATCCAAACCAACCATGGCCTACAAAGTTCCTTGGATCTGCCTCCTGCCTATCTCTCCATTGCATATGCAACCACTCTCCCCACTCTCTCTTCTATTCCTTGAACAGGAAAGCATTTTGCTGTCTCCACACAGTGGCCCTTGCTTTGACTGCTGCCTAAAATGCTCTTTGCTTAGCTCTGTGTGGCTGGCTTTTTTACCCTTCAGGTCTCAACCTGACGTCACTTCATCTAAGCACTGAGAACAATTTGTTTATTGTCCTTCCACTTTCCCCCGACAGAATGGAAGCTCCATAAGGGCTGGAACCCCAACCCCACTGTCTTGTCTCTTATCCTCAATGTCTATTACAGTGCTTGACAAATGCCTTTAAAATATGCTTCATGAATGAAGCATGAATGAATGAACAGCTCCTCCATAATCTCAACACCTAGCTTAAATCCCACCTCCATAGTAAATATGAATAATAGCTGACATTTATTTAGTGCTTACCTTGTTCCAGTGTTTACATATATTATCTCACTTAATGAGGCCCCTCCATTTACCTCCTGTAACTCATACAGTAATTACCCATGCTACTCCTTTCATATTGAATCACAATTTAGCCTCTTACTTTGCTATTTAATATATTACATGCATCACTCTTTTTACTCCGGTGGCATAATTACTGCTCCTCCACAGCCCAGTGCCAAAGCACACAGAGAGAGCTCAAGATATGCTGAATGACTGAAGATGTCCCCGCCCCCTGCCTGCCATCCCTGGGGTTATAATAGTAACATAAAAAAATGTTGAGAGATTATTTTTATCATGTCAAAGATAAGCACAGTCAGACTTTAGTTAAAGCAGTGAAAACACTACTGAATAACTATTGACAGTAGGGGAAAGAGCTGAGTTCCCTTCAGATTCATAGAGAGGTCACCAGGCTTTTTAAAGAGAAAATGAACTGGGGGGCAGTGGGGCAGGGAAGAATTGCAGGTGCTTAAGAAGAGTCTGCAAAGTGAAAAAATTACAAAAAATGGGAAGGGAGGGGACCAGTCCATATGAGACCCATCTAGGCTTGCTAACTGGTGCTTATTGGAGTTAGGCTCCTACCCTGCCAACAGAGGCTAGGAGACAAGGCCTTGTCTTCAGGTGTTCGCTGGAACAAACAGTAAATTCTTTTGGCAGCCTTGAGTTTTCTCAGGCAGGCACTTTAAAGGGATCTAGGGTCATTCCAGGAATGTAGCCTTGAGCTGTTTGAAACTATGTAGCACTTGTTCATGTCTTTATAGGCCAAAGTTGAGGACAAATTGAGAAGAGGACTCAAGGAGCCCAACTAGAGTTGGTCAAAGAGAGAATCTTTTGTCAACTGTAAACTCCAAACAGAAAATCTAATCCACTTTGCAAGTGGACAAACTCAATTCCACCTGTAAAGATGTCAAAAATGTTTAAAACATGATAGTTTGAGCTTTGAGGTATGAGATATCCAGTTCAATCCCCTCATTTTCCAGAAGAATTTGTTTAAAACCTTAACTTTTTAGAAAGAATTGTCCATTCTGTCACAAATGCTTCAAAACCAAGTTCACAAGTTTCACATTGAGAAGCTATAAGAATGGTTCCTAGCATTACATCTTAACTGCTGGGTTTTGAAATATCTGCTTTGCAGTGTTGCAGAATTCCAGTTGGAGGAGCCCTGCAGTGTTGAGGATTTTAGGAGTCCCTTCATACGTGTCCAGGCGGTGGCTTGGGGAACCTGAAATCTGTGTTGATGGAGACAAAAGGGAAGAGGATCCTCCCAAATTCCTCTAAATGCTTCTGCAGCCTGGAAATTCTGTTCTACATTTCATCTTAGGTTCCAACCTACTCCTTCAGGTTTGGGGCTCAGATCAAAAGGAACACCCCTTAGGAATCCTCCCTTCATTGCAAAAGATGACGTTGGGACATTCTGCTCTGCTTGTACTACCTGGGTGTGGTCCTTCCCAAGGCTGGCAGTAAGTGTGGCGTCCGGAAGGGCTCTTATATCCAACACTCTACTCTGGAGAGCCATGAGCATTATTTCTGAAATCATCTCAGGCTCTGACACCCAATAGTGATTTCCTCCTTTGGGTTTCACGCTGGAGCAGATGTGTACAGTCAGGAAAATGTCACCCAACCTGTCTCTCCCCATCTGGCAGGTCAGCAGGAAGCACCTGTCCTACTGGGTATGTTTTTGTTACAAGGGCCACCCTCCTATAAGAGCAGGTATCTTCTCTCTCTCTCTCTCTCTCTTTGAGGCGGAGTCTCACACTGTCGCCTGGGCTGGAGTGCAATGGCCCAATCTCAGCTCATTGCAACCGCTGTCTCCCAGGTTCACGCGATTCTCCTGCCTCAGCCTCCCGAGTAGCTGGGATTGCAGGCACACACCACCACACTCGGCTAATTTTTGTACTTTTAGTAAAGACAGGGTTGGTTTCCGTATGTTGGCCAGCCTGGTCTTGAACTCCTGACCTTGTGATCTGCCCGCCTCGGCCTCACAAAGGCTTGAGCCACTGCAACCAGCCGGTGTCTTCTCTTATTGAATCTTAAACCCTACATCCCCTACTGTTCATTGCAGTAGAATCTGGGCAACGTATTTTACCAAGGACTCTTTTTTGAGCTTCTTAAATGGCCGGGGAGGTAATTAAATCCCATGGGTCTAATGACACACACATTTTCCATTCTAGCGGCTCCAAGTTCCTTCTCTGATAAATAGTTTAGCAATTATCTCTTTGGCCACTACCTGCCTCCCCCGGGAATGGTCTGCCAGGGTGATCTGTACTCCCCTGCCATTTTCCAGAGTCTCTGTAAATTAGGAAGAATTCCTGATGTCTCGAGTAACGTAGCTCTTTATGGGAGTGGAACGTGGCTCTCTTTCCTCACTTTCAAATAGAAATTCTGGAGACTAAGCACCATCAAGGTAGCCATGATTTACCAAAATGCCAGCTTTTCAAAGTTCTTAAGTGCACAACCTTCCAGACTGTAGACCGAACAAGGGGAAAGGAGACAAAATGTATTGTCATGATTTTGCACGGCTAGTCTCTGGCAGAGTCAAGACCTCACATTCACTTGAGGGCTCAAATTTAGATAGTGACATCTCCAAGTGAAACTACAGAGTCCTAAGTGTGTGTGTCAGGTCACTTGCCAACTGGAAATGAACATTTAAAATATGTCACAATGCACTCGTGGCACGGCTTACTTTTTGTCTGTTTTACATATCAGGTATCAAAAAGAAAAATAGTCTGATCCTGCCCCAACCTCTAGAAGACCCAGGTTCAGGGTCCCGCCACCAGCGGGAGGAGGGGTGAAAAGTGACTAGAAGGGCGGTGTCAGAACTGCAGGAATTTCAAGGTCGGCTCCCAGGCCTCAGCGGTGGAGGCTAGGACGAAGGCGGGGGCTGCAGCGCTGTCTGAGCCAAAAGTACGCCGCGCTGAGGCTGGGTACGGAACGGGGCGGGGCTTCGGCTTGATAGGGCCGAGCGGATGGTTGGGCCGCGGCGGGATGAGGCGGGGCTTCGGGTGGGACGGGGCGGGACTTCGGGAGAGATGGGGAGGAGCCGTGGCGAGGCGCTGCAGAAGAAAGGAAATGCGCTGGCGGGGAGACCGGGGTTGGTCCCCGGCGGGGCCGGGGGCGGGCTCGGGCCGGAACTTCAGAGGCGACCTCAGCCAACTGCTCTTGCGCCGGGCGGGGCCGTCGCCGCCAGCGGCTCGGAGCGCCGGAAGCGCAGAGTTTCAGGGTTCCTGGAGCTACAGGCGGCGGGAGGGGCTGCAAGTGGGTCCATTTTTTTTGGTATCATTTTTCGTCCTTTTCTTGGCTTATCCCCAAAAGCGGAAAGTTTAGGGCAGAGCGACAATCATACCCATCCACTGTGCCCCAACACGTGTCGGGCTGCGAGGGCGCCCGTTCCTCCCGGGACCCCAAGCGGTTTCTGGTACGCCTATATGGACGTATCTTCCCAGAGTGAAAGTTGATGTTTAGCCATTCCGAAGTTGGTGCTTTGTGGGAAGGAGAACAGCGGGAGAGCCGTAAGGAATGCAGGCGTCTTAACGCGAGGAACGCCTCTTAACACGCCCCGTGACATGGAGTTTGACAGGGCCCTGGATCCCTGCGTTCACCCCTCCTGGAGTCCTGGACGCCCACCTAGGAGCAGCGTCAGGGCCGTGCCACTTTGACCCACGTTAAACGCATTGCATCCTCATTTCTGTGTCCTGTCTAGATGCTTGACTCAGTGATGCAGAACCTTTCAGGGTTAGCTGGAAGCCACAGCCCAGCCTCTTGATGCAGCCTGGATCCAGCCGGTGTGAAGAGGAGACCCCTTCCCTCTTGTGGGGTTTGGATCCTGTGTTTCTAGCCTTTGCAAAACTCTACATCAGGGATATCCTGGACATGAAGGAGTCCCGCCAGGTGCCAGGTATGTGGCTGGCCACCCTGGGATGCCCTGGGCTGCGTCTGCCCCCCTTTCCCAAAGTCTCAGAAAGCTGGGATTAGAGGCTTTTAGGAGAGCCTTCCCTGCTGCAGGCTTTGAAAGTGACCTAGCCTGGGCCTTCGCATGAGTTTGTTTATTTGGAAGGTAAAAAAACAGTCTAAATCTTTTTTTTTTTTTTAAGTAGGTGTTTGGGGGAGTAACATTTGTACTGAGGTTTTTACCTCCATTTAGGGTCTTTCATACTTGAAAATGCTCATTTGTTTTTCTTTGGCCCTGCTCCTGTTGGAGAGATCGCTGGGCCAGATATTCTTAGGTCTGGCTCCTTTCCTAAATGTGCCACTTACCTGGCCCGGGCTTGTCACTGACCTTCTGCAAAGTTTGGGTTTCTTTGTAAAAATGGAGCTTAACCCTGTGTAATGGAATCTTTTGATTCCTGATATGTAATGGGGGTTTGTTTTCTTTTGAATTAAGCAGAATCAAAATATTATAAACTCCCTGAGAGGAAGGACATCATCTGTCTTGTTCACCTGTGTAATCCCAGGGCTTAGAACAGTGCCTGGCATATAGTGCGCCCTCAAATAGAAATAGCTGTTGAAGCAGAAAGGCATTATACATGTAAAGTTTAAAATTTTTTTTTTTGTATTAGAATAGTGGCTACTAGAGATAGGCTTATCATAACTAAAAATATAACAAATGTAGTTTGGGGTGGATTTAAATAATTCACGTAGCTGTCTAATAATTCACAAATAGTTTGGGGTGGATTTAAATAATTCACGTAGCTGTCTAATAATTCACAAATAGCCACGTGTTTACTGTGCTATTTGAGAAGTTTGGTTAAACTTTCTGTGCTATTTTGAGTGAAGCTTTCCAGTCAAGGGCCTTCTGAATAAAAAACTATGAGTTAGAAGTAGTCAAGAATCTCAAGCATCCACAGTTTTAATGAGATAAGGTTTTGTTTGTTTCCAGTTAAATGTACAAATATATTTGGATGACCTTATGCTAATGACTTTTGTACAGATTTTTCGCCACGCCTTTATTTCCTAATTATTGTTGGAAATGGTCTGGTTTTTTCCCTTGGAAGGCAGCCAGCCTCCTCCACAGTTTTCCATTTTCCAGTCTGGTATTCTTCATAGCTCATCTCTTCAGGAAGAAATTAATTCACACCAAATTCTAGGCTTCCTTGCTTAATGATCTTCTGCAGGTGAGAAAACAGGTACCAAGGACATGACGGGCTTAACTCTCCCTGTAGGCAAAAGACTTTATGATGTAATGAAAACAAACCAACAAAAACAGGACCAGTGATCTTTGATTTATCACTGGTGAGAATGTTTCCAAGGTGTTTTAAAAATGAAACCTCGTGGTTAAAGCAGACATCAACTGACAGAGTGGATACTTTTAGACCTGGGGTGCCCAACCCCTGGGGCCACAGACCATTACTGGTACATGGCCAGTTAGGAACTAGGCCGCACAGCAGGAAGTGAGTGGTTGGCCAGTGAGCATTCTACCTGAGCCCCACATCCTGTCACATCAGCAGCGGCATGACATTCTTACAGGAGCGCAAACCTGATTGTGAAGTGCACGTGTGAGGGATCTAGTTGTGCACTCCTTAGGAGAATCTAATGCCTCATGATCTGAGGTGGAACAGTTTCATCCCCAAACTGTTCCCCCAACCCCCATCCTCGGAAAAATTGTCTTCTACAAAACTGGTGTCAGAAAGGTTGGGGACCACTGCTTTAGACCATACCATAGTGTTCTGGGGGGTGCGGAATTCCACTCCTAGGTTTTTGTTTTGTTGTTGTGTCTGGTTTCATTTACTATAAAGACAAAACTTTTGACTACGTGAAATTTAGGATTGTTTAAACAGCAAAGAATATCTTAAACAAAATAACAAAGACAAACCCCAAAAATGATAAAATATGATATGAATGTGTTGTATGATAAAGAATTTCGCTGACCTTTGCCATTGGTTCCTGAAGGGTAACATCTAAATTATTATAGTTTCCTGAGTGACAGGAGCATCATCATTATTCATCGTGGCCTCTCTAACCACACTTGAATTTATGCGAATCAGGTGGTTCATGCTGGATCCCTAGATAGTTTGGGATGGGGGCTGTCTATGCCCAAAAGACCAGCTGTTTGATTAGAGAGTTGGGGTTTTGAGCTAGATCATATCAGTCTGACTCTTTGGGAGGGGAGTGGGGCTGGAGATTGAGTTCAGTTATGTGGTCAGTAATTCAGTTAATTGTGCCTACCTTATGAGACCTCAGTAAAAACTCTGGACACTGAGGGTCAGATGAGCTTCCCTAGCTGATAATCACGTGTTGGTGTATCAGGAGGTGATGTGTCGAGGACACAGAAATGCCCTGCCCTGGGCATTTCTTCGTTTGGCTGGCCCTGATTTGTATCCTTCATGGATAAAACTATAATCATAAGTATAGCACCTTTCTGAGGCCTGTGAGTCATTCAAGTGAATTATCAAACCTGAGGGAGTATTGGGGACCCCCTAATTTATAACCAGTTGGTCAGAAGTACAGATATCCTGAGGACCCTCACAAAATTTGGGACTCATAACTTAAGTGAGGGCAGTATTGTGGGGGACTGTGCCCTTCACCTGTGAAATTTAACCTAACTTTGAGTAGTTACCATCAGAATTGTATTGCAAAATGATTGCAAAATGTCAGCTCCCCAAAATTTGAATTTAGAGTTAAACTAAGAAAAATACTGTGAAATTTGATTGTGGTGGTATTTAGATTTGTGGATTTTTTTTGTTTTTTGTTTTGGCATTAAAAAAAAGTAGCCCAGGTACAGTGGCTCATGCCTGTAATCCCAGCACTTTGGGAGGCCAAGGCAGGAGGATCACTTGAGCCCAGAGTTCAAGACTAGCCTGGGCAACAAAGTGAGACCTCGTGTCTAATTTTTGAAAAGCAGTACCAAGGCTACAGTAAGCTGTGATTATACCACTGCCTTCCAGCCTGGGCAATAGAGCAAGACCCTGTCTAAAAAAAAAAATGTATTTTTAATAATAGCTGATAACATACAGAAGTCATATTTCTTGTTTTAAATATCTCTGTGTCAGACTTTAATGATGGATTAAATAATAGTGACTTGTTTATTTAAATCGTCATATAATACTTATCCTATTCTAGTGGGTACAATGAAGTGGAAATAATATATCTGTAAGAATTATATTAAATCTGGTTGAAAAAGATTATCTTAGGTGTTTTAACGCTGTCAAACATAAATAACATAGCATCAATTAAATAACAGCAATTAAACTAAAAAGAGAGCAATCAAAAGTACTTTTAAAAAGAGAAAACAGTCAAATGTCTTGCTGTGGTTGCAGACGTTCAGGGTTGGCTGCTTGAAATCTGAATCAACCTGCCTGTGACCCTAGATCCCTGAACCCTTATAGCTCGACCCTCCTCCTTCTTGGGGGCCTGATGATCCAGGGGATCCTCTGATGCTTTTAGGCCTCTGTGGGCTGCATGTGGAACAGCAGGAACACAAGGGCCACTTGGGAAAGGCTGGAACATAAACTCTGTTATCTAGTATTTGTTACTGTTTTCTTTTCTTAGTTCATTGAGCTTTCTCTCAGTTGACAGAGCAGCCGTCCAATTTTCTTGAGCTCTCTTCTTATAGAAGATTGCTTTGATAGAAGAAAATGGCTCTCTAATTCTTTTTTCCATGTCTTCAGTCGTCTTCTTGTAGATGCTGTGCATCTGATACGTGTAGTTCATGTTTCTATATACTTGAAGAAGTTTCTTCTTTCTAAGCAGTGTATTTCCTCCTCAGTTGCTTTTCTCTGAGTTTTAAAATTCAAACTGTCTGTTAAATTCTTCTGATCTTTTTCTCCATTGTTCTGTGATGCTTTTAAGATTTTTTTTTTTTTTTGCATCAGCCGCTTGGAACTGGAAAGATTTTGTCGCATCTTCATCTTGAGTGACCGTGTCTGTCCTTAAAGGCAAGTCATTGTTGTCAGTCTGTGAGGTGAAAATTCACAGGACCCACTTTTCTGTCCTTTTTCAAGAAAGTCTACTGTGTCCACAAGTGAAGACCTGTTCAGATTTTTATTAAGTGTTGCCACACACAAAGTTTGTAGCATTGGATGACTGGCCTCCATCAGAGGTGACTTGAGGACTTCATTGGCTTGTGCCGTTAGCCCAGTCTTCTCAATGCCTTTCCCATAGACTTCAACCCAGGAAGAATACCTTTTGTTCCACTCTTTTCCCCATCTGAAAGTGTTTTTGCTCTTTATTAAAACCACGACAGTGGTACATGCTAGGATCTCCTTGGAGACCCAAAGAATCCTGGGACTTTCAGACATCACCAGCAGAGCATCCTGCTGCTTCTCGACCAATTGGAAAGACATTTTGGTGGCGGACAGCTGGCCCTCTGTGGGTCCAAAGGGTTCTGCTTTCTGCCTGTGATTGCCTTTGTGCTGTGGGCCACAACAAACCCTGTGGAGTGTCTATCTCTAATACAAACAAGTACTTGGCAGCCAGGATAGATCATCACATAGGCCAGGGGAGGGAGAGGCCAGCCCTGTTCTATAAAACAGTTCTCTCTAACTTTACTCTGCTCAGTGTACAAATAGTGATACAGAGCATTTGGGGAGGCAGAAAGGGCTGAGTGCAGCCAGAGATCAGCCTGGAGCTCAGGCCACCTGGCCCTGCAGCAAACCTAGACCACCAAAGCAGCACCATGCCTCAGCCCTGCTCTGCACACAGGCATTCCAAGGCAGAGTGGTGGGGCGTATGGCGGTAGAGTTGGCATCCCTGGGTGAGGTTCATTTTCCTGGTTTAAAGTTTGCTTCTGCCGTAAGGAAGCCTGCCCTTGACTACACAGGACACAGGGATCTCCCTTCTCTGCAGGCTCCCTGTCCTTTTGCGTTTGGTCAGTGCAGGCAGGCAGGGGCAGAGGACTGAAGATCTCATCAGTGGTGGTATGGAAAAGACTAGGTTTCAATTGTGAAAACTTGGGAGAAGCCGGTTGGAACTGGCTACATCTTAGAATTTTATGGCCTTGGTGCGGTGGCTCACACCTGTAATTCTAGTGCTTTGGGAGGCCGAGAGTTTGAGTCCAGCATGGGCAACAGAGAGAGACCCCCACCTCCATAAAAATGTTTAAAAATTAGTTGGGCTCCTGCTTGAGACCAGGAGTTGAGACTGCAGTAGGCTGTGATTATGCCACTCGGGCAACAGACTGAGACCCAATCTTTAAAAAAATCACAAGCAAAAACATGGATTTTCAGTGGAACCACTTTGTCTCCATTCAATTCAAGTTTTCCTGGATGGGGGTGACTCTCCTTTGGGGGTGACACAGTGACCCAGGCTCCTTCCCTCCTTGTTCCTGCCATCTTCAGCTCATGCCTGCAAGGTTGAGCTGAAAGGTTATCTTTAGAAGCATGCCTCTGTGGAGGGAGGGGGTCTGGCTTGTGGCTAAATTTGCCACCTCTTATTTCTTAAAACCACATCTCACTCCCCTAGTATCTCTCTGTAACTGAGGCTTAGAGGCTCCTTGTCCATTCTTTGGACTCTTCCTCAGTCCCTTTGTCTACAAGGGAAACAACCATCAGCAGAGGCCAGTCTGGGCGTTCTAAGGGGCATCGGGATTCAGGCCACAGGTCCCCCCATGAATGGAGAGAATAGAGGCTGTGACTAGGCTTCATGGTGAGGAGAAGAATGGCCAAATGCCTGAGGTGATCATTGTTTCTTAGTTTAGAATTCATGTATTTATTTCAAAAAGGACTTGACCGAGTGTGGTGGCTCCCAGAACTTTGAGACACCAAGGCAGGAGGATCGCTTGAGGCCAGGAGTTCAAGACCAGCCTGGGCAACAAAGTGAGATGCCCATGTCTAATTTAAAAAAAGAAAAAGGACATCACCACATAAAAGTTTATAACCTGTTTCTGAAAGTAAAGAATTTAGCCATCATGGGGGTGGGGGGAAGAGGCAGGAAAAGAGATTGGACAGGACTCTTTAGTTGCAGGTGACAGGAACACAGTGCACGCAGCTTAAGGTGAAGCAGGGAGCTCAGGTCAGGTTATTGAGGGACAGGCAGAAGGGAAACCCTGCAGGAGCCTGGACAGCCCTGGGACCATCAGGGACTCCCTGCTCTGAGCAGCCCCTCTGTGTCCTGGCCCCACGCCAGAAGAAAGCCTCTGGGTATCAGTGGGTAGGTTCCCTCTCAGCTTTCTCCGCTGGCAGGAAGTTGCCTGCCGCCATCTGTAGCCTAGGTTTTGAAAACAGAGTTATAAAAAGAGAAGTTTTGGAGTTGTAACCTGGCCCCAAAGGGTAGTGTTTTGTAATCTACTTACTGTCTTTTTTTAAAAAAAATGCTATTGCCAGTTCAAAGAAATGGCAGCTGATTTCTTAGAAAAGCACTTGTTTAAAAAAAAAAAACAAAAAAACAAATAAGCCTTTCTCATGGTTTCCTCTCGCTTTCCTTCTTCTAGTTGCTTCAAATATAGTCCTGTGTTTGGTCCCCCACTATAATGACTGTTTTCAGGCCCCTTGTGAGCATTCTGCACAGAGGGGTATTCACCAAATCTAGTTGGACAGCACTGGTTTTCTCCCGTCTGCACTAGTACAAGCTTTAATGTCAAGCTTTCTACTTAGGACCTGTGAGGAAAAGACATTGGAATTTCTTGGGGCATTGTCATTTGTCAAGGACTGATTCTTAAGTCTAGAATTTCAGCAAACAGCATGGCATTGATTTTTTTTTACACCCCTTGCCCCCTACAAGTTAACATTTAATGAAGCAGAAAATGTGATCATGCATTATGTTGACTTTGCTTTTTTTAAATTTTAGGTGTATTTTTGTATAATGGACATCCAATAAAACAGGTAGATGTCTTGGGAACCGTCGTTGGAGTGAGAGAAAGAGATGCTTTCTACAGTTATGGAGGTAAGAACAATTGTGTCTGAAATGAAGTTGATGTAGAAGGCTGACCCTTCTGGGCTGAAAGTTGGATTTTAGCAGCCCCAGCCATTTAGAGTAGCTGGGGACCCTCACTAAGGGCATGTACTTTCTCTATGGGGTACCCCTTATAGCCCCAGACATGGGCTAAGAATAAAATGAGGCAACGGATAGGAATGATACTGATGAATTCAGTGAGGTGACAGCTGCTGAGGCACTAGGACGTGGAAGAATTAAAATACAGCCCCCTAGGAGCACCGATGGACAGGGCGCGGGGGGGCGGGTACCTGATGCCCAAGGGTATATCTGTACATAGCAAAGGGTGGTAATATATGGTTATGTGGATCACTTTAAAAAGCAACGACCAGATTAATGTTAAAGTAGATTCTTTAACAACACAGGAAGGTGTGAAAAATAATTTTAAAATCTTTATATCTAGAACAGTTAACAAAAAGCCTTTTGATACTCAAAGGGATAAATACCCATTATCAGAAAGTTTATTTTCCCTCATGATGACAGAAGCTTAATAAAGGGTTTCTATATTATGGACACTAGAGAATTGCTCACTTGTGATTTTAGTGTAATAGGTCCTTATTTTTTCATTGAGTTGATTTTTAAGCGTTTAAGATATTGCCTTGTACAACTCCAAGCTTCTCTGTAGTCAAGAGCCCAAGATAGATATTTTGTGGAAAACTTAACTTTAAATTCCATACCTTTGCTGAAATTGACGTTGTCACTTTTTGTGCTATGCCTTGGATTTGTATTCTTACTCTTCTTGAGGAAAGATAGAAGGCAGTTGAACTTTGTGACCAAGAGCATTTCATTGGCAGTCCCTGCATGATTGATAATTTGTAGATACAATCTCATTACATTTCTTTACATGTACTCATTTTCCTGAAGAGTATTATCTTGTGCTTTTAATAAAATAATGTGAAAAATAAAAGCTCTCATTTTTTCTGCTTTTTCCCAGCATATGTGTGTGTGTGTGTGTGTGTGTGTGTGTATATATATATATATATATAATTTTTTTGTTTTTAATTCTGAAAAGGATCACCTTTGTCAGACATTCCCAAACTGAATCTCTTCTCTGCTTTATTTTGCCAAAGATATTGGTCCTGTTTTTCTCCAGACAACTCAACAAATATTTACTAAGTTCCTACAGTGTATCCAGCTGTGGGCAGTACACTGTAGTATAGGAGAGTGCTTCCTCTCGAAATGCCAACGATGAAATAATAGCGTCTTTCAATTTGCAAAGCACTTTTATATGCATGATTTCATATTATTCTACCCCTAGTCTTTTGAAATAGAAAGTACAGGTACTCATTTTGTAGATGAGAAAACTAAGGCTTAGTAACTTGCTCAAGATTCCACTGATGGAGATTTGTGGGTCCATTCTGTTTACTGACTCCAGTGTGTTCAGTGGTCTCCATATAACTCAGTTTGATTTTTCTCTCCTCTTTCTTTCTTCCATCCCCCACCCACCAAAAAATAAATAAATAAATAACTGCATTTGATTTTTAATTTTCTGTTTTTCAGATCAAATAAATGAGGCCGTTTGAGGACTTTAAAATCCTGGCCCTAGAACCAGGCGAGATATTAAGCCTGTGCCTAAAGGAGCTTCGCTTAACCCCTTTTCCCATTATAAAAAGATGAAGGCACTATGATTGCCTCTTCTCCAGTAAGCATTTCCCTCTGAGTGAGTGTCTGAGGAGCATGACATATCTGTGGGCTTCGGGAAAATAAAAAGCATCTGACTGCTGAAATTATTGAGAGCAGAGAGGCTTTTGCAACTTTAATTCTTGTGGAGAGCTGCCCCTCTCCTTGCTGTCCTCAGGCAGAACATGGCTTTTGGGCCAGCTGCCAGGTGGCCACTCCCTGCTGGTCTGGGTTCTGCTTCCCTTGACTCACCGCAGGCCTGTGCTGGGGGTGCTTCCTGCTCACACTGACTCATCCTGCAGCTGAAACAAAAGGCCAGTGGCCCAGGCGGTGCTGTGTAGCTGTGGAGTACGTTGTGCAGCACTGCAAGGGTGCCTCCATTCAGGGGCATTCCAGCAGCCAGACCTCTGGGCACCAAGGCACTCGGTCTGCTGGGAGAGATCACAAACCTGGTTAGTCCAGGGATTGGTGACAGTGCCCAGAGTGCACAGAACACTTGGTAGCAGCTCAAGCTTAGACCTAGAATGTTGGAAGGCTACAGTCAAGAACAGAATAACCTCACATTCTCTAGGACAAATGTTCATGTGCTAATTTTTTTTTTTTTTTTTTTTTTTTTTTGTGGTCCAGGCTGGAGTGCAGTGGTGTGATCTTGGCTCACTGCAACCCCCTCCTCCCGGGTTCAAGTGATTCTCCTGCCTCAGCCTTCCAAGTAGCTGGGACTACAGGTGCTTACCACCATGCCCAGCTAAGTTTTGTATTTTTAGTGGAGACGTGGTTTCACCATGTTGGCCAGGCTTGTCTCGAACTCCTGGCCTCAAGTGATCTGCCCACCTCGGCCTCCCAAAGTGCTGGGATTACAGGCATGAGCCACTGCTCCTGGCCTGCTAATTTTTTTTTTTTTTTTTTTTTTTTTAGCTTTCTATTATAAATCAAGTTTTCAACTGCAGAGAAGTGGTGTGCCTGGAAGTGTCATGCATTTTTTTTAACGCAAAATGTCCTTATTCATTTTTTGGATTCTTAAAATGGTGCTTCCTCATTATAAAATAAAATTTCAAACTAGAGACAATTTTAATGAAGTATATAAAAATCATGTGAAACACTATAAATCAGGCAAAACAATGTCAGTGTTTGGGTGAACATCCTTCCTCATTCTAAACATGTTCCCAGTATCAAAGAAATATAGAAATGCCTGTTTCCTTAGTACTATTGTACATGTTTCTTTCTCAGTGTTTCTGAAATTAGGCTTAACAGTCAACGTATACATTGAATGTGGGGTTCCTTCCCCACACTCCAAGAGAAACTGCTGTTAGTATTTAATGTCTTAAAATCATTTCTGTGAAAATACACTGTTTAATGTTGCACATAAATTGGATTATATATTTCTGTTTTACAATGAGCCATGTATATCTTTTTATTCTCATATAGTACGTCATTGTAATTTTTTTAACCATATTTATAAACATTTAGGTATTTCCAAGTGTCAGTATTATAAAGAATACTACAGTGAACAGCCTTACATAAGATGTGTGTATCTGTGTACTTATTTTTGTTTTATCTGGAAGTAATTGTTAAGTCAAAGGACATGTACATTTAAAAACAACTTTGAGAGGCAGGGTCTCACAGTGTTGCCCAGGCTGGAGTGCAGTGGCTATCACCAGTACAATTGTAGCACACTGCAGCCTCAAACTCTTGGACTCAAGCAATCCTGCCTCAGCATCCCGAGTAGCAGGCATGTGCCACCGCACCTGGCTTACATTTCACAATCCGATGCATGTTTCCAAACTTGCTCGTTAAGATTTAAATTTTAGAAATTTGTTACTAATTTATACTTCCACTATCAACATATGAGGGTATCAATATTTTTAATATTTGTCAATTTCATTGTTGATAAATTATTTATACTTGCTTTTTTTAGTGGTAACTAGTGAACTTAGCATAGTGACGTGTTTTTATTGGCCATTTATAGATCTTCCATGAATCACATATTCTTTTCTTTGCCACTTTTTCTCTTGTGATCTTGATCTTTTTCTTATTAGTTTATATGAGCTCTTTATTTATTTTTTATTTTTTGAAACAGGGTTTCATTCTGTTGCCCAGGCTGGAGTGCAGTGGCATGATCATGGCTCACTGCAGCCTTAAACTCCTGGGCTCAAGCAATTCTCCCCCCTCAGCCTCCCAAGTAGCTGGGACTACAGGCACATACCACCATGCCTGGCTAATTTTTAATTTTTTTTTTGGTAGAGATGGAGTCTCGCTGTGTTGCCCAGGCCGGTCTCAAACTCCTGGGCTCAAGTGATCCTCCTGCCTTGGCTTCCCAAAGTGCTGGAATTATAGGCATGATCTACCATGTCCAGCCTATGAGCTCTTCCTATATTAAATCATTGACCCTATCATTTGGAATATTGCTATCCAGTATTAGTTTTTAGGTGGTCAGACTTATCAGACTTCTTTAATGAGTTCTGATTTTAAGAGTCTGCTTAAAGAAGCCTCTCCTCACCCACTATAAACCCGGGGTTAAAGGTATTCACCCATATCGTCTTCTCATCTTAAGTTTACCTCTTTTGTATTTAATGAAATGAAACCCATCTAGGATTTATTTTAGTATAGGAAGTACTCTTTTTGGCTTTTTCTTCAGCATGGATTTAGGTCAGCAGTAAAAAATTTTGCCTTAGATTTCTTTAGGATTATGTGTGCTTTTACAACAGTCTAGTTGATTTTTTTTTTTTTTTAATTATGAGACCCACTGACCCCATGCTTAGCAACCTCTGTTCTGAGTTTGTCAGAAATTAAGCAAAGAGAAATGCCTGTTATTCCCTAGCAAACATCTCCAAATTCCTCTATAGTTGTAAATATAACTGCAATGGGAATTGTTTGATTTTTTGCAAAAATTAGATAAACCAGGAATAACATAAGCCAGACTAGTACTGTTTTTGTGGCCAGGATATAATTATTTTCTATTATGAAAATAAAACGGTACCCTTCTGTGATGTGCTTGGCTTTCCTTACATCCCCTGCAGTGGTGAGGACTGGGCAAAAGATCTTTCACAAAGAGAAACCCAGGCCAAATGACTTGGAACGCTTTGTCTTGGTAAGTCAGCATGCTAGCAAAGAGACTGTGACAGAAGGCTGCACCCTAAGTGCGTGTGCCTCTAACCACAAACCACACGATGCTCTCTTGTTTCAGGGTGGGAGAGAAAGGCTGATTTTGTATGTGAGCAGTCATTCAGTTTTTGCACTTAACTTCCCAAGGCCACCATTTTTAGTACAGAGGTGTAGACAAGCATCATGAGGGTACCCTTGAGGGTACTAATCATTAGTACCTTGAGGTAGGATAAGTGAAATGCTGACCATATCCCATTGGGCTTGTGTATTATATTGAGTTGTACAGACAAGCAGTTTATACTCATATACAGTGAGAGGTTGTTTCAAAAGTGGAAGGAGAGTTTGATAAGGGATTTGCTTCTCCAGGCTATTGAAAGAGGTCATCTTTCAGTATGGCTGAATGCAATGACAGTATGCTAAATCACCAGCCTTGCCCAAATCTCTCTTCTACCCTTTTACTTTTCTCTTGCAGTGGATGACAGCACTGGAGTTATAAACTGCATCTGCTGGAAAAAGTTGAATACTGAGTCTGTGTCAGGTAATTTTATTTGCCACATTCCTTTACTTTTCACCTAACTAATGGATTTTACTCAACGTAGTTCATCAAAACAGCTACAGGACTAAATTTTCACATTTATCTGCTGGTGAGTTACACTGATCTACCTGAAGCACTATACCCAGAGCTTTGGCTGCTCTGAAAACTGATGCCATAGGAAAGCCACTTGCTTTTCTTTCTCCCATCTCTTTGGTGCTCACTTCTTCCTAAGCCTACAGGAATGTGAGTAGGTTACCCCTGTTCATTTCCGCAGTTCATTTTTACCATGCCCGTTATTACATAAGTCAAGGCGTCTTAGCCTAATTGCTAGCCAAGTCTGATTCCCCTTGTCCCAGCCATATCACTTGACCAAAGAACATTTTGATGACTGTTTCTCTCACATGGTTGCCACTAACTTCTGTGCTGCCATGGTCCAGATTTCTTGAAATCTCTGTGTTCAAACAAATAATACCAGGAATTCTAAGATTGAGAAGGTAAGATAGGATTCCTTTGGAAGTTATTCAGTAAGTAACATAAATTAAAAGAACTTTAAAATTGTATAGTGAACACATTGACTATAACTGAAACATTTGGTGTTGCTTGAATATATTTTCATAATTTTTAGATACTTTTTTTTTTTTTTTTTTTTAAAGACAGGTTCTCACTATGTTGCCAGGGCTGGTCTCAAACTCCTGGACACAAGTGATCCTCCTGCCACAGCCTCCCAAAGTGCTAGGATTACAGGCTTGAGCCACCACACCTGGCCCAATTTTTAGATACTTTTTAAAGTTAAGTTCATAATATGAAAGAATATCATGCAATATTGGTGATGGTTTTTGGTTCTAGAGAAGCTACGAAAACTGGAAGCTTGTTTTTTCTGTGTTTTACAACATATACAGTATAGTGCCATACACAGTGGGGTTATTCAGTAAACACTGTCTGCTCTAATATCTAGCATCTAGTATCTATCTACTTGCATTAGATATGATAAGAATATCTAATGCTTGGGGTCATTTCTTCTTTTTTGCCGTAATGTGTCAGAATCTCAGCTTTGTACTTTGACTGTACTGATCAATGGAATGCTCATTTGCTTAATTTTCTGATGTATTTACATTTAGAATTTGGCCGTCAGTTTCATGTAACTTTGGAATTCTAATCCCTAATTTGGGAACATCTAAATCAATGGCATTGCTTTGGTGAGGAAGGTTTGTAGGTAGATTTAAGGGAGACCACATGTTTTTAGGCAGATATCTGATAGGCAAGAAATAAACCTGTGAGACAATCAGGTATCTGGATTTTTATGTATGTCTGAGGTGTTTTTCTTAATCTGTTTTGTGCTGCTGTTACAGAATACCTGAGACTGGGTGATTTTATAAAGGAAGAAATTTATTTCTCATAATTCTGAAGGTCAGAAATTCCAAGATCAAAGTTTTGGTGTCTGGTAAGGTCCAGGTCCCCCCCTCCAAGATGGTGCCTTGAATGCTGCATCCTCCAGAGGGAGGAGAACTGTTCCTCACATGGCAGAAGAGCACGAGAATGAGAACCACTTCTGCAAACCCATTTTATAGTGGCCTTCATTCATGAGAGTGGAGCTCTCATAACCTAAACACCTCCTGTTGGACCCCATCTTCCAACACTGTTGCATTAGGGGTGAAATTTCTAACACATGAGATTTTGAGGGGACAAAAACATTCAAACTTGTTTTTATCAAACTGTAGCAGTATTAAAATCATTTGCAGATTTTTGGTTGTTGTCACAATCTTCAGTCAGAAGGTGTAGTTTGAATATGCGTACTTGTTCTAGATGGAGAGTCAGCGAAGTTTTTCGGTAAAGGGCCATATTTTCTGCTTTGTGCACCCTATGATCTGTGTGTCTCTACTATTCAATGCTGCCATTATAGCGGAAAGTAACCACAGGCAGTACATAAGCAGATGGGCAGGCTGTGTTCCAATAAAACTTTATTTTTAAAAACAGGCTGTCGATGGATTTGGTTCATGGGCTATAGTTTGGAGACCCCTGTTTTAGTCATTGTTTCAGTTTTCAAAATTAACTCTTTTTAAAGAAATAGCATCATCAGGAATATATAATTCTTATACTTAGTAATTTTTTAGATCAACAAAATGGCTATTAATACTGAGAGTCAGATTTTTAAAATATCAATAAGTAGATAAATGAATGAACAATCACAGTGGGTAGCCTTAATTTAAGATTGCTTTGCAAATATAACGAGAAGGTAAGAGTACAAGGAGAAAAGGAGAAAACCTAAAAATGATTCTCATCGTCTTTGAATTGTTCCCAACTAGCCCATTCTCTCCTTTTTATTTAATTGCCCTTAGTTTAAAAGCTTTCCATTGGAAGGTGGCCAGCAAAGACTAATTTTTTAAACAAAATTTAGTCTGAGTCAAAATCATGTTCCAGTCCATTAAAGTGAAGGAATATAATATTAGCTCCTATAAATGTCACATTGAATGTACCATTTGGACTTGGCCTATGAGCAAAGTTAAGATTTCCTGGCCCTGAGTATTAGAATGTTAAAGGGGATTTCTCTTTCATGATGGAATAGACGCTGAAAGTGAAGTTCTGTCAGGCTCCAGTCTTCTCATTATATTCATTAAATTACACAGCTTGAACCTCCTTTCGGCAATTTGGCTCACCCTTTAAGTGAAAGGTGGGCCTCTTGTTCTCGGGACAACCATCAGTCCGATCATTTCAGTGGTGCTACGTGAAGCATTTACTATCACCTATAATGTTTGCATAATGGCAATGAGATGTATAAATACCTTTAAAATTCAGCCTAAGTAGAAGAGGACCTGGGGATAGGGATGCAGATGGGACAGCCTTTTGAAAAAGTAGCAGTTGGGAATTTTTTGAAGAAACCCAGTAAGCTCTGAGCAGCAGTAATGCTGATTGCATCCAGGTTCCTACCTATCACTTACTGAACGCACAGAGTTCTCTGTGCTCCCTACGTTGCTGTTTCCCTGGGTATAGTAGGTGTGTTCAAGGAAAATTAATGCCTCTGCACGTTACAGAGCCACAGTTGTCAAAATTGTATTAGGTTGATTTTGATGAAGGGCTTCTCTATGAAGAAATACAGAGAGTAGATCATCTTGTATAAAAACAGCCTCTTTTGCAATTTAAAAGCAAAATAAGATGTATGGAATAATTATGTATTTGTTAAGGTATTAAAAATCCAAATGACTGAAGCTGGTGTAGGAGTTGTGAGCGTGCATGCATTGCTGACAACATTGTCTAAAACAGGGGTTTGATCAGTTTATTCTGGCAAGCATTCTGACAGTATGTAATGAACTGTAAACCAGTTTGTAATTTTTTATCCAGTAATAGTCTCTAACGAAAGACCCCCAAAACACAAGATACTTTTTCTAGAAGGTTTAATTATTCATCATAACAAATAGCTTACGTTTAATTATTTCCTATAAATATGGAATTGTGCTAAGTGCAGAATGTAAGTATTCAATTAGATCATGCACAACAACTCTGTGTATGAGGTAGACTCTACTGTTACCTCCATTTCATAATTGAGGAAACTGAAGTATAAGAGTAGAAAGGAAACTGAGGCACAGTGAGGTGAAGCAGGTTAAGCATCCTGTCCAAGGTTACACAGCTAGTAGGAGGTAAACTGAGATTCATTTCCGACTCCAATAGCCAAATGCCAATGGCTAAGCTGTACTGTCCCTATACAGTGCTAGTGAAAAAAAACCAAAGTAAAAAATTATAAAACTGTACCTATAATCCCAGCTACTCAAGAGACTGAGGTGGGAGGATCACTTGAGGCCAGGAGTTCAATTCCAGCCTGGGCAACATAGCAAGACCCCGTCTCTAATAAACATAAAATGCTTGGCTGTGTAGCTTCTTTGGATACATATGTGTATTTGAAATTATGCTAGAAGAAAACAGAACACACAGTATTTTGTACCCACCAGCTGTAACTGGGAAATGTGAGTATCTTCCTGGGGCAGGCAGCAGAGAGTAAGGGATAAGTGGGATGGCTCTGGAGCTAGAGACTGCCTGGGTTCAAACCCCAGCCTTGTCTCTAACTAGCTGTTTTACTTTGGGCAAGTTGCTTGACCTCCCTGTGACTCAGTTTCCTCATCTCTAAAATGGGGCTAATAATAAGCAGGAGTGGTTGCGAGGACTAAATGTGCTAATACATTGTAAAGTCCTTAGAACAGCACCTGTAGTACCCAGATATTCGTGACAATTCTTCTTACTTAATACAATTTGGAAGTAAAATAGTGATAGAAGTTATTTAGAATTGAGTGTACATTGGGTTTTTTTCATCATGAAGTTGCTCAAGTATATAGTTTTAAGTGGTGACAGAGAGAGAGAAAGTGTGAGTGTGCGTGTGTGTGTGTGTTTGAGAGAGAGACAGAGAGATTAGCCTAGTTTCCCAACAGAGATGAGAGGTGAGAAATTGGGATGTTGAGCACTCAGGTGGGACAAGTCTCCTCACAAGGACATTTGAAAGGTTGTTTAAAGCTATTGCTACCACGCCTGGCTGAACTCATTGTACAGAATTCGTGTCAAGGCCATGCAGTGCCCTTTGACTGCACTGGCGATGCAGGGCAGGAAAGAAGGCCCTGGAGTCTGTTGGAACTTGCCCTCTGGACCTCAGTCTAGACTCTATTCCCTTCACCCCACTCTTGAATAATTACAGTTTATACCTTTTTCTCAGTGGAAGACTCCAAAAGGTTATGTGGATTTCCAGCAGTAGAAGAATTACTCAGAAGTAGAATAAATAAGCATATTGTGTTGGTCTTACCCTAAAACTGTCTCACAGATGTGGTAGAGTGATTGTGTTATAACTTTTTCTCTTTCCCTCTGGCTCTAAACAACTACAGCTGCTCCAAGTGCAGCAAGAGAGCTCAGCTTAACCTCGCAACTTAAGAAGCTACAAGAGACCATTGAGCGGAGAACAAAGATAGAGATTGGGGACACGATCCGAGTCAGAGGCAGTATCCGTACATACAGAGAAGAGCGAGAGATTCATGCCACCGCTTACTGTAAGCACAAGATATTTCTACCAAATTGGTGGTTTTTCTGGATGTGCATCCAGTAAACCTCTTGTTCAGCTGGAAGTCAAACTTTCAAAAAGTTCAGTTAAGATATAACTCTATTTAATGAGTGAATTACATCGTTTAACATGCTTTCTTTAGAAAGTTAGCATTTCTTAATTTTATTTTGAAGACAGCTAATTATAATTTGGGAAAGAAAATGAATTATTTACTTTATATATGGTTGGCAAGTTTATTTGGATGACATAGTAGACTTTCCAAAGCACTTTCAAGTTCAGAATGTCAGTGCATTAGGGCAGAATATGAACATTCTTCAAAATAATGGAAAGTTTTAAATTTTTTCTTTATTTATTTTTCTTTTTTTGAGACAGGGTCTCACACTACTGCCCAGGCTGTAATGCAGTGGCACAGTCACAGCTCACTGCAACCTCAAATTCCTGGGCTCAGGAGATTCTCCCACCTCAGCCTTCTGAGTAGCCGGAACTACAGGCATGTGCCACCACACCCAGCTAATTTTTTATAGAGATGGGATTTCGCCATGTAGCCCAGGCTGGTCTCAAACTCCTGAGCTCAAGAGATCTGCCTACCTCAGCCTCCCAGAGTGCTGGGATTACAGCTGTGCGCCACTGTGCCTGGCCAGAAATTTCTTGAACACCATTAAGTCCATTAACTTGAAATGAAAACAATTAATCAGAAATATGACAGTTCCCCATCATCTCCCCTTTGCACTGTGCTAGCTGGTTTTCAGTTGGAAATCTCAAGGACAACCCCTGCTGTCCACCAGAGGAAGAGACGAATCAATACATTGATGTGCTTTCCTGGTTCCTTGGCCCTGGCCAAGCCCATGACACTTAGGGCATCGCATTCCCTCATGCAGGATGACTGGGAGCTATTTAGTGCATCTAGACTGTGATCCCTGGGCACTCACAAGGAAGAAGGCCCACCCAGCACCTCATTTACTGTTGTCCTAGCAGGAGTTTGGGCCTGGGAAAGAACTGATCTCAATGTAATTTGCAATTTCTGTGGCATCTTTTTTCTGGTCACTTGTTAGATAAAGTGGACGACCCAGTGTGGAACATTCAAATTGCAAGGATGCTTGAGCTGCCCACTATCTACAGGAAAATTTATGACCAGCCTTTTCGCAGCTCAGCCCTAGAGAAAGAAGAGGCACTAAGGTAAGTGGTGCCTTATCACTGCTGAGCACGTGACTACGGCAGGAAAGCGAAACAGCGGGAGCCCAGATGCTGGGGTCAGCCTGGGTTCAAATCCCGAATCATCCACCTACGCACTGTGGAGCTCTGAGCAAGCCCTCTAACCCGCTCTGTGCTTCAATTTCCTCTACTGTAACATGAAGAGAATAATAGCACAGATGTCCTACGGTGGTTGTGAGGAAATTATGTGTGTAATTGGAGTCACTGAAGGAGTGGAGGCAGGAGCAGAGAAAAACACTTTGAAGAAATAATAATGCCTGACATTTTTCCAAGTTTGATAAAAACTTTAAACTCACAGATTCAGGAAGCTTAATGAACTCCAAGGCAAGAAACCTGAAGAAAACTGTAGCAAGTCACCTCATAATCAAAATATGATACCATAGCATGTCATAATCAAAAACCTGTTCTAAAAAAACCTACACCAGTCATTCTCAACCAGGGATGATTGTACTTTTTTATATGGGAGAAAAACAACCCAGGAGGAATGAGAATGTGTGCATATTTGCTAATGCATGCATAAAAGAACTGTGAGAGGAGACACAGAGAACCAGTAACAGCAGCTCCCTGGGGGGTGGGGACCGAAGGATAGAACAGGAAGGGGATAGAAAGGAGACTTCACTGCTTATCTTTTAATGTTTTTTAACATGAATATATTATCTATTCAAAAAAGTATATTAAAAGCACAACTATTATAAAAAGTGAAAATTCTCCATTTTCCTGTCTCCGCTTTCCTGCCTCAGCACCATTCCCTAGAGATTACCGATGTTCATAAGCCAATGTGTGTCTTTTTAAATTAGTTTCTTCTGTGCTTACTCAAGCGTGAATATTCACCCGTAGATTTAGTGGGTTTCCATTTGTTTTTTTATAAAAATAGGACCATACCTTACATGCTGTTTTGCAGTTTGACTTTTTTTCTCCTAATCTGTCATGAATATCTTAGTTCCTGTAGTTCTGCCTCATCATTTTAAACAACCACATAATGTTCACTGTATGAATTACTCTGTATGAAAAACAAACCCCAATATAGTGTTGCATTTTCTAGCTAACTTTCTGTTTTTTATACACCAAAAAGGAACAAAGGTGATGGTTTTCTGCAGAGCTCTTTAATAACTTTCCCTCCGCAGCAATCCAGGCGCCCTGGACCTCCCCAGTCTCACGAGTTTGCTGAGTGAAAAAGCCAAAGAATTCCTCATGGAGAACAGAGTGCAGAGCTTTTACCAGCAGGAGCTGGAAATGGTGGAGTCTTTGCTGTGCCTTGCCAATCAGCCTGTGATTCACAGTGCCTGCTCCGACCAAGTGAGTGCAGCATGCCCGCGTGAGAATTCTGGTTCCCTGCCCTAGATCTGCAACTGCAGGTGTGGGTGAAAGTGACTGTGGCGTGAAGATTCACAGAGTTGACCCAGGGAACAGAGGGGATGGTTCTGTCACACATTGTTTCTATTGTGGAAAGGTCACTGACCACTAAGAACTTGAAATGAGGCATAAGGCTGGACCTGCCCCTACCCCTTCCTTAATTTTTTTTTTTTTTTTTTTCCAGAGACACAATCTCACTCTTGTCTCCCAGGCTGATGATTCTCCTGCCTCACAAGTAGCTGGGACCACAGGCATGTGCCATCTTGCCTGGCTAACTGAGATAACTTTTTCTAAGAGGAATAAAAAATTAAAAAATAGAAAATTACTTAAGTGTTCCTTGAAATTTTACTCATAAACGACACTGAATACAGCTCGGTCTTTATTTAAACTCCTAAAACACAATAGGTTAGTCTTGTTCTGAAAAAGACAGAGCAAGTCATTAAAAACCATGGTTCAAGTTCAAGAATCATTTTGCTGATCAATAAATCATCTTGGATGGATAATTACCTCCTCTTATCTACTTCCCTGTCACTTGGCTTCTGCTGAGATTAAACATCCATCTCAATGAATACTAACAACCTAGTACTATGGACCTTAGACTATTATTATTTTTTTCTACTCAAATATTAAGCATAATAAGATTAAGAAAGGAGGGGCTGGGTGCAGTGGCTCACACCTATAATCCCAGTATTTTGGGAGGTCAAGGTGGGCAGATCACCTGAAGCCAGGAGTTCGAGATCAGCGTGGCCAAAATGGTGAAATCTTGTCTCTACTAAAAATGCAAAAATGAGACAGGGTCTCACTCTGGGTGACCCTGACCCCTGACTGTCACCCAGAGTGAGACCCTGTCCCAAGAAGAAAAAGAAAAAAGAGAAAGTTATCTCCATGTTTTTACTCCTAGTGTTACTCAGGTAACTTGTTTGGTTGCTTGGTGTTGACGTATTGCTTGGAATTAAGAATTATTTGAGACATTGGTTTTAGGCTTTCCCTTTCATTACAGGTCTTAGGTTTGTTTTTGTTGTTGTAACGTGACTCATTTATTTATATTCTTTATCCTACCAGGGAATGATCTCAGCTTAAATGTCCCTCCTTGCCCTCCCTGGCCGTCTAGCTGCTCTGATTGCCATGTGGCCCCTCACTCTTACACCCTGTTTTTGTATCTGACATCACTGGTCTGTCTTTGTTTGCCTGCCTGTTCCTCCATCAGAATTTAAGTTCTGTGAGAGCAGAGGCCTTGTCTGTCTTATTCTTTGCTGTCTACCCAGGGCCTAGAACAGGGCTGGCATAAAGCAGATTCTCAGTAATTATTTGCTGATTGAAGGAATGAATGATTTTTAAAAGTTCAAATTGTCCCACAAAGTGTAAAGGTAAAGGTCAATTTCTTTCCCATCCTCCCTCTCACTCCCTTTCCCCTGAGACAAGCACCAGTACTGGTCTCTGGAATATCCTTCTGAGATAGTCTGTGCTTACATGTACTCGAAGTCATTGTAACCCCTTCTGTTTTACACAGATGTTAGCATGGCGTAGTATACTATGAGACACCTCACTTTTCATTGACGTGTGTCTTACAGATTCTTTCCTAGCTGTACATATAGGTTGGCCCCTACAGTCTTTTGTCACATGTACCATCATGTATGTGACCAGTCTCTCCGTCCCTGGACTGTTTAGATGTTTTCTAATCTTGCCATTACCAACAAGGCTGCTGTGAACACCCTTGCTAGATAACATAAGTTGTTCTTGATTTTGGTGGAACAGATACTGAGTCACATCCTGACCTCCCAGGCATGACCACTGCTTCTCAGTTTTGTTTGTGGTCCTAATTATCTCTTCTGGGCAACAGCCTGATGTGCCCAGTGACCCATGGTTTCATACGGGAAGATGAGGGATATCGTTTCAGAAAACACCAAGGTGGAAAGGGTCACGACTGGCTGCTTTGTTCTTTGCCAAGGTTGCTTCAAACAGTTGCAGCGCTCCAGCTGTCGGCTGACAGCAAGATTGACCTTCTTCCCACTTAATCATTTAGAGGCAGCTCAAAGCCAAATTGACCTCCTAGGACTGCGGATGATTCTATCAGCATGTTTGGAAAGAAACTTTAAAGCTTAGCGAAGACCATATTTTTCACGTGAAGCCAGCTCTTCTGTGATAGCTATAATTAAGTAAAGAGAGAGACTTAAGGACTCTTTGAGGACTAAAAGACTCCTCCATTCAAAATGATCTGTGGGGAACCTTTGGCATATCTTTTTGAAAATGCTGGCCGGGCGCGGTGGCTCAAGCCTGTAATCCCAGCACTTTGGGAGGCCGAGACGGGTGGATCACGAGGTCAGGAGATCGAGACCATCCTGGCTAACACGGTGAAACCCCGTCTCTACTAAAAAAAAATACAAAAAACTAGCCGGGCGAGGTGGCGGCCACCTGTATTCCCAGCTACTCGGGAGGCTGAGGCAGGAGAATGGCCTGAACCCGGGAAGTGGAGCTTGCAGTGAGCTGAGATCCGGCCACTGCACTCCAGCCTGGGTGACAGAGTGAGACTCCGTCTCAAAAAAAAAAAAAAAAAAAAAAAGAAAATGCTTACAGCAGAAACTTGTGTCTGCCTAGTGCTATATGTTTAAAAAGAATTGCATATGGTATTATATTTGTTTTGTCTTTGAAAACTCTTTTTTCTATCAATTATGAATTAGTCCCCCACATTGCTCTGGTTGGGGGAGGTCAGTGTGATTAAATTGAGTTCTGTTTAATAGATTCCTGGGAGACTAAAGGTGCTTTACAATGAGAGTGAAACCCTAGATCCTTTGGCACTTTCTGTTGTCATACAGATGAAAGCTTAACAAAAACAAATCATTGTGATGGTGTTATAGTTTAGAGGCAGAGAGAGAGCAGGCTTGAATGTTTCCTCCTTTTTTTCATAGTGGTCCTTCTTAGCAAATCCAGAAACATGATAAGCAGGGCCTGCAAAACCATTGTTTCTTTGACAGCTGGATGACTGCTGAGTTTGTTTGGGAATGAAGACTATATATATTTCAGGCATCCACCCAGTTCCTGACCTGAGATGAGGAGAGGCTTGGTAAGGCTCAGTACGTTCAGCTAGTCACTGTTTTTTTCGTTTTCTGTCTGTGAGCAATTTCGGTTTCCTAAATCTGATGAGTCTGTCATTACTCTTTTGAAAAAGACAAGAAAGACACAGATCCCAGCCCAGGAAAAGCTGCTGGCTGGAAGAGACGATTAGTGGCTTTACCCTTGAGACTATGGTCTTTATAACTAGGCCAGGGAAATATGTCCCAAGGTCAGCTGAGGCAAATGTTTTTGGAAAGGAAGCTTCAAGTATTGTTTATATTTACAGAGAGACATTTCTGTTGAGTCCTCCTTGCTCACAGCTGAAACTGTGTTTTTAATCTCCCAGGCCTAGCATTCTCTCTTCCTGCTACTTGATCTTACTGAAATCTGGGAGGGGGAACTAGACTTTTTATATGGTTTTGGGATAACCAAAAGTCATTTTTAAAGACAGGAATAATCATGTAACAATCATCTCTAGTTAGTTTCCAATTTATTTCTATCTTGCTAAGAGATGTAATAAACCGAACCCTTAGGATCCTTACGTTAAATTGACTAAAGAATATAGATCTCCTTAGAATTATAAAGATTAAGTAGTTTTGAAGGTTTGCAGAGGAGTCTGTATCGCGCTGATGGTGCATCCCCTAAGAGCACTCAGGTATGAAATTAAAAGCAGTTTTTCCCTAAGCCTCTGTGAATAAAAAGATGTGTGGCTGAGGATTGCTAGGTGAGGTGTTTATTCTAAACACACCCAGAGAGCTTTTCTGCCTGTGGGAGTTGTCAAATATTTCTCAGCCTTATTCTCCCTTCAGAATGGAAGCTGTCCTAACCTGGAATGTTTGTCAGTTTTGGGGCCCTAATGATGAGGTTCTCCAGCTTGTTCTTTTAAGGGAAAACTTACACTGTTAATTCAATTAGAGTGTTAGGCTGTTATCGTTAGCCCAGGGGAGTACATTTGTGAAACATCACCAGGATCTCTTAGAGTAACAAAAAGCCTGTTTGGGAGGCCTGTTCTAGAAAGAGAAGGTTTCTCTGGGATGGACCTGTGAACACCTGAGACTCTATGGAGGCTCTTCCCTCTCCCCTTGAGGAAATGTCATTAGCAAATCTCAGCCACGCTTTTTCAGCACCTCTGGGTACTGCCCCACGTAGCCTTTGTAAGTACCTTTCAATAGAGGTAGGACTTGGCCTTCAAATGCTTTACTGGGAGCTTTGCCACATTTGTTTGGAACTCTGATCTTTTCAATATCTTGACAAATTTCTGTCACATTGAAAGTAGATCTGTAGGCCGGGCGCGGTGGCTCACACCTGTAATCCCAGCACTTTGGGAGTCCAAGCTGGGCGGATCACGAGGTCAGGAGATGGAGACCATCCTGGCTAACACGGTGAAACCCCGTCTCTACTAAAAATACAAAAAATTAGCCGGGCGTGGTCGCGGGCGCCTATAGTCCCAGCTACTTGGGAGACTGAGGCAGGAGAATGGTGTGAACCCGGGAGGCGGGGCTTGCAGTGAGCTGAGATCGCGCCACTGCACTCCAGCCTGGGTGACAGAGCGAGACTCCATCTCAAAAAAAAAAAAAGAATCTGTACTTTGAAGGGCAATTGTTGTTCGCCATTTTCTTTGTTTTAGGAAGGAGCGGAAAATCCCCAGTGATACTCTCTAATGTGTATTTGTTTCCATTCGTCTCACATTTACTTTATCAGTCACCTAACATGTGCTAGGGAGTAGATGGCCAAGATGAAACAAAGTCCCTGACTCAAGAAGCACCCCATCTGGTCAAGCATGGGGGGACTAGCTGATAGCCTAGGTTCCCCGGGGATAAGAAGCCGGATGACCTGGATGACCCTCTCCAGGCAAACTTGTCTCTAGAGAAGGGAAGAAACACTGAAAGTGAGGGGGAGAGCTGACAGCAGCAGAGGTCCCTTCCAGGTGGGGACTGTGCTTCACCAGGACTGCTCTCTACCTTCAGCCTTGTGGACTCCCCTTGGTGGATCTCTGCTCAGCCTCTATTCTCCTCCAGCTAAAATAATGAGGCTATTTAATACTTCATGCTGGAGTCCCCAGATTATTCCAACTTACATAAAAATCGTTGAAGTCCCTAGGAAGAGATTGTTACAGCCTCAATTTTAATGGAAAAGGGGGCTAAGATATATGTACAGTGTTTTGGTTTTGTGTAAAAAATAAGTCAAAGATTGTCCAACAGTGAGGGTAGCTTTTTTTATTCTGCACTACAGAGTGAGTTCGTTAAAAAAAAAAAAAATCACAACGAAGGTATGGAACAGTTATGAAAGGTGACCTACCAGGGCCCGCTTCTCAGTCCTCCTTAAATACCATCCTGCTACGGTGGTACATACCAGGATCTTTTTGACTCAGCAATTAAAAGGCCTGTTGGACAAATTCATGAACCAGTTGGTCTAGGGAGTTACTCTCAGGTGCTGTAAGGTGAGACTTATTTCTTTTCTTTTTTTCTTTTTCCTCTCTACACAGGTGAATTTTAAGAAGGACACCACTTCCAAGGCAATTCATAGTATATTTAAGAATGCTATACAACTGCTGCGGGAAAAAGGACTTGTTTTCCAGAAAGATGATGGTTTTGATAACCTGTACTATGTAAGACACATACAACTTAACTTTTTTTCCTTCGTAGCTTCAATTACAAATATATTTATTACTTATGAATAACTACTTAATTATTATTAAAAATCATTAAGGAGGTACATAAAATCAGAAGTCAAAGTTGGTCCTTATCCTTCCCCAAGGTATCTCTTTTAATAATAGTTGACCTATGAACCACACAAGTTTGAACTGTGTGGGTCCACTTATATGCAAACTTTTTCAGCCAAATGCAGATGGAAAGTACAGTATTTGCAGATGTGAAACCCACATACGAGAAAGGCTAATTTTTCGTACATGCGAGTTTCACAGAGCCAACTTCAGGACTTGAGTGTGTGTGGATTTTGGTATACCTGAGGGTCCTGGAACTGATCCACCGAGTATACCGAGAGACAACTGTATATCCTTCTAGACATTTATCTGTACATTTACAAATGCGTACATATAAATATATGCTCCTGTGGCTTTTTAATTGTTTCAAAGTCCTGGCTTATGCAAGAGGCTTTTTGTTTTATAAAACATGTGATCATCTTCTAAATCAACATTTCTCAATCTGAACACTATTCGGGCTAGGTGATTGAGTGTCGTGGGAGCCGTCCTGTGCATTGCAGGATATTTAGCAGCATCCCTGACCTTCACCTACTGGAGACCAGTAGCAGCACCCCAATTGTGACAACCAAAAATGTCCCTGGACATTGCCAAATGTCTCCTGGGACCATTGAGACTTGCTACTCTAAATAATGCTCTACACCTTTTTTGGTACCAAAATAACACGTCACAGGCACCTTTCCACATTAGTAGTTATAAATCTACCTCATTATTTTTAATATCCTCAGGGTATTCCATACTATGGGTACCTGTTGTGTATTTTTTAGCCATTCCTTTTTGATGGATACTTAGGGTATTTCTAAGTTTTGCTGTCACAAATAGTGTTGCTATGACTATTTTTGCACAACTATGTTTGTGAACTCATGTCAGTATTTCTGTAAGATTGACTCTTAAAAGAAGAGCTGCTGGAGCAGATGGCATGGCCATTTAAGCTTTTGGTTGACACAGTGTGGTGGGCCTACCTGAAGGCTGTACCAGTTGACTCCCAGCAGGAGTATGGGTGCTTGTTTGCCTCACTCTTTCCAAGTTAAAAGTTCACCTTTTTCTGCATACTTTTAATATTGGAGGAGCTAAGCTGGAAATGGGCCTTCTCAGGACCACTGACATCAGTGGTGTGGACTCAGTTACGTGCAGCTCTTCCAGAGACTGATCAAATTCCAGAAGTCTCACTATTTACAGGCAAGAGTCCCGAGGGGGAGCTTTTCTTAATATGTCATTTCCTGATGTTGATTTACCCTAGTGACTCCCCACTTTAGAGGAATTTTAGAAATTAACAATACCATTTAAATAACTTTTGAAACCGGTATCCCGGTCTACATAAGGGCGAGTGCCTCCCACACCATCCCAGGATGGGAGTCCTGGCATGGGAAGGCCGGGTGGGAGTTAGTTGCTTCCTGGAAGCTGGAGAAGCTCATGGGGGCAGCTCACCTCGAGCCCCGCTCTGGGACACACGTTTCCTCCCAGCCCTTCAGAGAGCAGCCCTTCCTGAGGAGCAGCAGTCCAGGGCAAGGCGTGGCGGGGCTGGGCACTTCCTCGTGTGAATCATTGTGATCAAGCACAAATAGATCTCTTTTCGCCATCTGTGACTTCACCCCTCCACTGCTTTGTGGTCACCTTTCTCCTGAAGCCCTGCCTTAGGGAAATGGTTAAAATAAGTCAACACTTCTGTTTGCCTAGTGCTTTCCTGCATTCAGCAGCTCTCACACATGACCTTGTTTAATCTTCGTCATAACCTCGTGAGCTGAGAGAAGGCAGGTGTTCTCAGGATGCCCCCTCCAGTAAAGCAGGTCAGACAGGCATTCTTGGGCTGTCTTTAAGGAGGAAACTTACAGCTATTTGTTTGCATGTCTATTTTCTTTCTTCCTTTCTTCCTCTCCCTTTTTCTCTTTCTTTTTTTTTTTCTCTTTCTCTCTCTTTTTGTTACTAGATTCACTGTGGAACATGAAGGTGAAACCCGTTGCATGCTGCTTCCCTCTTATCTGCTTCCCTCTTATCTGATTGGAAAAGACTAAGTTGGCCAGGCGCAGTGGCTCACGCCTGTAATCCCAGCACTTTGGGAGGCTAAGTCGGGTAGATCACTTGAGGTCAGGCTTCGAGACCAGGCTGGTCGACATGGTGAAACCCTCATCTCTACTAAAAATACAAAAATTAGCTAGACGTGGTGGTGCACGCTTGTAATCCCAGCTACTTGGGAGGCTGAGGCAGGAGAATCACTTGAACCCAGGAGGCAGAGGTTGCAGTGAGCCAAGATCAGGCCACTGCACTCTAGCCTGGGCGATAAGAGTGAGATTCCGTCTCAAAAAAAAAAAAAAATGGAAAAAGAAAAAGACTTAAGTTATGTCTGCCTTTGAGAGCAGAACGTGTTTCGGTGGATAAGCCAGCTTTACTCGCATGCTAGCTTGCTAGCTTGCCCTTCCAGGGTTTTTGGGTTTTTTCTCTTATTTTTCCTTGTGGTTGGGAGAAGCAAGAAAACTGATATAACGCAAGACAGGTGTCACGGCTCAGAAGAAGAGGTCATGGGGTGAAGATCGGAGGCCTTGATCACTGTGCCTTGCTCAAAACTATAACAACAAATAAGAGAAATGTGTTATGAGTGTTGAAGAAGAAAGTTAGTTGCTCCTTAAAAGTATGCAATTCCAGCTTTTTTTTGTTTTAACCTCATTGCCCCAGTGAACCAACCAACTCCCAAGGACGTGTCCTCTGGGCAGAACTGGTTTGACACTAGGCCAAGTATCAAACACCACATTGATGGTGTAGGGATGATTGTTATGAAATCTTTAGAAGCTATCCTGAATACTAATTTGGGAGTCTGGATGACACAACTGCTGTGTTACCTAAGAACACTCTCTCTCTCAACTATTTTTCCTATTTAGGTAACCAGAGAAGACAAAGACCTGCACAGAAAGATCCACCAGATCATTCAGCAGGACTGCCAGAAACCAAATCGTAAGTGGCATATAATGTACAAGTGACACCCTGGTGCCCTGGAAGGGGATACTGTCTCCCGGGGAGCACTGGATGGAGAGTCAGGAGACCTGGGACTTTTCCCAGTAATGACTTGGAAAGGCGATAGTCAAAGTACCTGCCCTCCCTGAGCCTCCATCTCCTCTCTAAACGAGTGTTAGGCTAGCACAATTGTTGTAACCTTGGCTATACATAAGATTCAGCCTTGGAGCTCTCTCAACGTTCAGAGCCCAGATTCTACCCTGGGGATTCTGTTTCTATAGAGGATGAGCTGGGGGCTAGACAGGGAATTCTGATACAGTGAGGTAAGGTCACCACACTGAGACGTTTTGATGTCATTCTGCTTCTCATGTTCTCTCTGATTTGTGTTATTTCCTATTTCATGCTTGCCCCTTTTCTTTGAACACAAACCTGACATTTCCCTCTATTCTAACATCAAAGTCTTTCAGTGTTGGAAGGAATGGTTCTAGACATGACAGTTTATGAACGGTGTAATTCAGTCATCTTGGAAACTGATAATTTGCAAAAGAAATGGTTTAGAACATGGTTTTAGTAGAGTTAGTTCAGCCCCTAGTGGTTAGACTCTGAAACTGTAGCTAGTCTGACAAGGAATAATACCATTTCCACACTAGTTAGAAAGAGAAGAAAGCATTAGTCCCATCTTTAAATGCTATGTAAACTGACCGATCTTAAAGGTGACTTTTCAAAGTCTAGCTTTTGCAAACACGTACTATAATAAGAAGTGTTTAAAAGGTTTGTTGATGACCCCAAGTCCCTGATCTGCCAGTGAACTCCACCTCCAGTCCTTCGGCCCATACATCCCTGGGGCCTGGCCCTGTGCCAGGTTGAGTCAGTGGGTGAAGCTGGGCCAGGTTTCCAGCCCCAGTATTTATGGTAGACAGCCCTAGTTAACCTTTAAGAAGCCATGAGGTCGGATCCCAGAGTGGTGTAACAGCAGCTCTTAAACTCAAAGCAATGTATTATTTCAATGCAAGTGAATGGACTTTGTTCACTTCATTCAGAACAATAAGAACAAATATCCTTCAGTTGAGGGAAAAGTCCATCTGTCCGCAATTGAAGGAGCTTTTGAGAGCAGTGCAATGTGGGATTCCTCAGCCAAGAAGGGATGAGAAGATGCTCCCAAGATAACATCAATGCAGTCACCCTAGTCATGGGCCTCCTGGCCAGATTCTTATTTTCATCGGCATTAGGAATAGAATGGATTGAACCCTAGGGCTCCTAGGGCTAGTAAAGCACATGAAAAGAATTCACATTTCATTTGGACTTGGCTCTCTGAAGTGTCTTGAAAGTGGCAGGTTTAACATCTACATCTACCCATAGCTCATCAAGTGGACAGGCCCTGCCACTCAGTCTGTGAATGGGAGCCTCTAAAAGCCACTAGCCAATCACCTGGCCCTCTACACTCCCAGGAGCCGAAATCTGAAGCCTGAATTAGTGACAATGCTGATAAAAGATGTAAGAACTGTGTTGGAACCTGCACCCCACTTCATAATGTCATAACATGGCAATTCAGAATAGTAATATATGTGCCTCATAAAAAGCCAAGCAGTGCAAAAATACACACCAAAAAGTCAGACTCCCTCCCAGCACTGAGCCCCAGCTTCTGTGTTCTCCTCTCCAAAGGCAGTGGTTGTTATTAGTTACTTGTATATCCTGTTGGATATGTGTTCTCTATCAAGGATAAACTATACAGATATGTACTTACAAACATATCTGTATTATTTATCCTTGATAGAAAACACAAGGGAAGGCCGGGCGCGGTGGCTCAAGTCTGTAATCCCAGCACTTTGGGAGGCCGAGACAGGCGGATCACGAGGTCAAGAGATCGAGACCATCCTGGCTAACACGGTGAAACCCCATCTCTACTAAAAAATACAAAAACTAGCCGGGCGAGGTGGCGGGTGCCTGTAGTCCCAGCTACTCGGGAGGCTGAGGCGGGAGAGTGGCGTAAACCCGGGAGGTGGAGCTTGCAGTGAGCTGAGATCCGGCCACTGCAGTCCAGCCTGGGCGACAGAGCGAGACTCCATTTCAAAAAAAAAGAAAAAAAAAAAAAAAAGAGAAAACACAAGGGAAGTTTAGCCGATGATATACATTGTCCCACACCTTGTATTTTAGATCTAACATTGCCTTCTAGAGGTCATTTGCCAACAGTACACATAAAAGTGTCTACGTCTTTTCATTAGCTGGACAGTATGCTGTTATACGTGTAGGTAAATATCCAACCCTCGATCTAACCATTCCTACTGTGCCTTTAGTTCCTTTCTAACCTTTCATACAGAATATAGCCTGGAGTTTTTCCTTGTCAGGATGATTGGTAGAAGGACTCGAAGTCATTTATGAGTGTCTCACAAAGGCTCACCCTTCAATAATGAAAGGACTGTGAACATCAAGCCTGTCTTAAGTCCCTGAAGGATTGATATTTGTTTTCTGAAGATGGGCAGTGTGGCGGCATTGTGAGGAGCTGTGCTCTGGAGCCACCTTGCCTAGGTTTGAATCCCAGCTGTGCCACTTGGTAGCTGTGTAACATCGGGCAAGTGTCTCGGGTTCTTTAAATGCAAAGTGGGGATAATAATAGTACCTACACGATGGGTTTTTATAAGAAGTCAATGAATGGGCATTTAGAAAGTTAGAAGAGTACTCAGTGCATAATTGAGATCCAAAAAGTGTTAAATAAAAATGAAGTTCTTTTCTAATGGCACAAGTGGTAGCCCCTAATTCTCTAGCCTGGAGGCCTGAAGGCTCACCTTCTACTTGGTTTATTGATCTGGAAGGAAGCAGTTTCAGAGATAATCTGTATGTGGATTTTGCTCTATTATTGTTGGAGTAAAGTTGACAAAATCTGGATTTTGGCTTTCAGTATGGGTACAATAATGGCAAATTATCCAAAAAGAAAGAGTTCTATGCTGAACATGTCCTTTTATCTCTAACTTTTTACCTGAAAATGTTCCAATTTATCAAAAAAAGTTAAAAGACTGCTACACTAAACACTGATATACCCTTCACCTAGACTGACTAAAAGCTTCAGTTTGTATTTGCTGAGCATGGGGACCTTCTCCTGTTTGATCACCAAATCATTTCACACCTAAGAAAATGAACATTTGGTGAGTTCCAAAACAGCAGCCTTTCACTAAATGTTCCTTTATACCATTAGCTTTCCAAAAATCTCCCGTGTATTTAGCTCAGGTTCATTTTTTACTAACCCAGAGCTGGAGAGAAGTGCTGCTTTTGGTAGAAACTGAGTACCATATGACACTCCTTATACTGGAGGATTTTTTTTTAACTTACGACAAACTTTTAAAAAAGAATTAAAGAAGTTTAACCTTTTGTAGTTATAGTAGTAGGTTATATCTAAAATGTATCTTTATGTCACTTGGGTCTCTAGAACATCAGCATTTGTGCTATCTGGTGGAGGTATGATGGGGTATAGTATGAATCAGGCTGCATGCGAAAGTTCTTGGGAAAATATAAGGTGCAGTTATCACCGCTCATAGAGATCCATCATGAGATAACTATGTCTGCCAGGCAAACACTTTTCAGAAAAGTCTGCTTCGGCTTGTGGGTTTGTTCCAGAAGAGTCGAATTACGTAATTGAACTAACCACTGGGGACCTCCTTGCTGGCCTTTCCTACTTTTACTGTTTTCTAATAATTTCTCACTTAGAGAAGAATCTAAGGCCAGGCACAGTGGCTCACTCCCATAATCCCAATGCTTGGGAGGATTGCTTAGGCCAGGAGTTTGAGACCAGCCTGGGCAACATAGGAAGACACTGTCTCTACAAAAAATAAAAATTAAAAATAGAGAGGAGTCTAAGTTCACATTACCCATGTGACTGGAAATCACTTTTGAACAGCCTCACCAGATAACCCTCAGCAGAACAGCCTTTCTGAATAAATAGTTGAAGGCCTCTGAGACAGTCAGCATCACTGCTTCGGGCCCCACGGGTGCCTGTAAGTCATCTTGAGCCCTGGGTCCAAGCATCCAAGCCTTGCAGAAACTAAAGGCTGAGCAGCACTAAATTGCTTGTGCTTCTCCCTACCATGTGCAGGTCTGTGTGGTTGGAGCCCCTCACCCTCCATCATCAAACCTATCCTCGCTTGCTGGTCAGCTCTTCCTCCTTGAGAGGCTTTTCTTCTTGGGAAGGGCTGAGTTCCTTCTCTAGAGCAGGAACTAAGTTACATTCATCTTCTTGGGTTATGGATATGATGAACCAAATCATAGTAGTTCCCCCTGGTCTCTCATCCACACAGCCACCCTGAGAAGGAGGTGGTTTTGTTCCCGGGAATGACTTTGTACCAGTTGTAGAGCCAGGACTTGAATTCAGGTATGGTGGACTCCAGTGGCAGCTCTCAGTCTGCCGAGCTCTACTTGCTCCTCCTTGCTCAGCACTGCACACATAGTAGGTGTTCAGGAAGTCTATGGAGTGAATTTTGAAGAAACAGCCTGGAAGTGTGGACGCCAGCAATCCCAATCGGGAGGAGTAATGAGTGGACACAGCCACTAGAGGTCAGAATTTAGCAAATCTTTGTTAGCCCAGGAGCAGTCTCTGAACCTTAGGGTTGGAAAGGGCCTTGGAAGTGGTTTTCACGACAGCTGAGAACACTGAGGCCTAGGGATGACTTGCCCAAAGCTACAGAAGTGCACCAAACGTTGAACCATGCTTTGCCTTACACTGCAACACCTCTTCGAGCACCTTCCTGAAGCCTAAAGCATTTTTCATCTGAAAACAACTTTCAGTGACTGTGTGGAGCACCTTTTGTGTGCCAGGTGGTACTGGGTATACAGCAGAGAGAGACCATACCTGGCCCTACCATGGAGTTTTAAACTGTGACAACTGGAGGGGGTTTGCTTTTGGTAAAGAAGTTTGACTTTGACTCAAAGTTAGAAATATATTTTACATCATGACCCAATAAATTATATAATTCTAATGCATAAGATATATATGGAATAAAGTTTCATGAATTAATATGTATCCAAATTACAATGCAAGATATTCTGTAATGTTCTATTTCTGCTCTCTTTTAGTTTGGTAAGAAAAAGAATGCTGATCGCAACCTACAAAAATTGGTTTCATGATCCCCTAATAGGCACAACCCTCAGTTTGACTACTGCCGACCTAAAAGGAAGGAGCTGAGGCAAAATTAATACAAGTAGAGAGCTGATTTGGGCCAAGTTTCAGGATTGCAGCTGGGGAGCACAGATTCAGGTTTCTCTGAATATACACTCTGATGAGCAGCAGTGATAAGTGGATTTTTTTTTTTTTTTTTTGAGATGGAGTCTCACTCTGTCACCCAGGTTGGAGTACAGTGGTGCAATCTCAGCTCACTGCAACCTCCGCCTCCCGGATTCAAGTGATTCTCCTGCCTCAGTCTCCTGACTGACTAGGATTACAGGTGCACGCCACCACACCTGGCTAATTTTTGTATTTTTAGTAAAGACGAGGTTTCACCATGTTGGCCAGGCTGGTCTCGAACTCCCAACCTCAGGTGATCCACCCACCTCAGCCTCCCAAAGTTCTGGGATTGCAGGCGTGAGCCATGCGCCTGGCCCATAAGTGGATTTTTAAAAGCCAAAAAGGAGGACAGAGTTGATACAAAGTTGTTTGTCAGGAATTCTCATTGGTTTATAGATAACATTGATTGGTGACTGGCTATACATTGTTAAGCTATAGAGTGTGGATTATAGTGTTCAATTTCACATAATTAGGCTAATTTATAACTACTTGTGCCAATAGCAAGCAGTTTCCAAGGTGAATGCATAGTGAGGAGTAGAGCGTGATTGCCGTTTCATCGTCGTGTCTCTCAGGGCCTGATAATTAAAAGGACTTGCATTCTTCCTATTTTATTGTCTCATTACCAGTGTTTGGGTCATTGATTTCAACTAGGAAAGAGGTTGTTAACTCTGAGTTTGTATTGTTGTGTGCCAGATGGTCTTAGTTTTGGGCAGAGGATAAGAGGTTACTAGGAATACAACTATCACAGATGAGACTTTTGGAAGCCAGGAAGAGAAGAATGAGAACAGGCCAAAGGTAGGAATCCCTTCTCACCAGGCAGCCCCATCAAATCAGGACTTAGAGGGAAGCATACGGAGGCTGCAGCAAACCAGCTCTGCTGTGAGTCTCAAGAGGGCTCCCCCCTGAGAAGCTAGAGGTTTGGCACTGAATAGGTTACACTTATACATGTAATTACCCCAGAGAAAAAAGTTTATCAAGCACTAAAAATCCACTAGGTTATGGATAAAAAAAAAAAAAAAAAAAAAAAAAAAAAAAAAAAAAAAAAATCTTTGATTGGGAATCCTTGAAGGTTGAAGTTCAGAGTCCCTGAGCAGTGGCTCCACGTCGCCGTGGTGACATCAGGGGCCTGAGAACAGGTGTTTCTGTTTTGTTTTTGTGATCATATAGATAATGCATCTCAGACTTTAATGTGCATAAGGATCATCTGGGGATCTGGTCAGAATGCAGGTGCCCAGACAGGAGGTATGGAGAGGACAGAGGAGGGCCTGACAGTTGTGACCGCGCTCAGCCACCCGCCTTTTTCCTGCAGACATGGAGAAGGGCTGTCACTTCCTGCACATCTTGGCCTGCGCTCGCCTGAGCATTCGCCCGGGCCTGAGTGAGGCTGTGCTGCAGCAGGTTCTGGAGCTCCTGGAGGACCAGAGTGACATCGTCAGCACAATGGAGCACTACTACACGGCGTTCTGAGCAGAGACACGCAGACCAGCTGAGGAGGACAAAGATAAGGTGGCGTTCACTCCCAGGCTCTGACTTTCAACATCATGCAGGGGCTTGTCTGTCTGGAGGCAGTTTGCTCATAATAAACTATAAAATATGGTCATTTTGGGAATGGGATTTGGCATAAATGTGGTTGGCTGCCTTCTGTCTGCTGTGTCCTTGGGGTACAATGACTTTGATCTCAGCCATGACACAACAAGAAAACCCTCCCGGTTGACCTGGCTGGGCTGCGCGTTGTTTGCAGAGCAGAATGGGGAGGAAACAGTGTTGGCAGCTTAACTGATGTGTGTGGTTGGAGTCTCTACCATGGCAAAGGGACACCACAGGGTAGTGAACATTCAGGAACTGAAGGGCATATGGCCTGATCACACAGTTCCAAGCTTTTCAAAACTTCAGGTTATCAGAGACCTTCCTGTGGGCCTCTCTTGATGGCTAAGAACCAGTTTAGGGGAGTAGTTCTCTCTGGATGAGTGTCACTTGCTTACAGTTTCTGTGACTCAAGTACCAGCAGTGGGGTTGAGACCTGGGTTGATGTTATTTACAAGCCTGCCCAGAGATGGGAATAAACAGAGATCCACGGCATGACTATATGTTTGTCATTTTCCTTTTATTTCCTTGGGAATCGAAAGGTGTCCCAGTACATTTCCCTGCACTTGCAGAGGTGCATGACTAAATACATTGTCCCTCAATGCCCCTGAAGATCACAGAGACAGTCAGCCAATTGCCTGGCAGGCAGTAGATGTTATTTTCAGGGTTGCCGCTGAGTGTGCAGGATGTGCTGACACCATCCAGACAAAGACTCGGTATGTGCCCAGACAGGTGATGGAGTCATGCTTTTGCTCAGAATGACAAGGTAAAGGAAAAACATCTGAGGTATGTTGTAGGCCTGTTCTGACAGCAAAATGACAAATGCAGCCAGCAAAAATAAAGTGTGGAGAAAGATTTGGAGTTAATTACAGTCATTTAACAGAAGGCACTGCCTTCGTCTGCCGCATTTGCTCTTGATGTAATAAGCTCTTCGTGGCTCAGCTGGAGATCCTTTAGGCCTGGAGAGTTGCTCCTCTCTCCATGGAAACAGGACAGTCTTTATACACAGAAGTCCGCTGCAGCTGGATATGTCAGGCTGAGAGCTAGGACCAGTGGATTGCCTCCTGTCATAGACTTTTGGCAAACCTGTGCTGATTTCTGAAAGTGATTATGTGGCTGCCCTGCATCTTCTCTGTGTCCAGAAGGGTCCCTAGAATAGAGTCTGCCTGGAATGATGTCCTGGGCAGTTCTTCCTTGAGGTCAGCAGCTCTTCCACGTTGAATGCGTCTTTGATTAGTGGGGCTGCCCAGCAAGGAGTCCAGAATCAGAAGGTAAAAAGGGCATACCCTTGCCTACAGCAACTCTGCTCTTAAGGGTTTATCTCAGGGAGATGACCACACCAGTGTGAAAGGATGATTGCACAAGATGCTCATTGCTGTGTAATCTAGAATTATATATTGGGGAAAATATCTATAGGGAAAAAGTTAATTACGGTTCTTGGGCACAATGAAATGCTATGCAGCCATGAAAAAAATGAATGCAGACAGTGTTGCCATGGCATACTGTCCCCAATAGATTTAGTGGGAAGTAGATAGAGTTATAGATCTGTTTCTATAGGATAACACCATTATCTACAGCTCCCTGTGTGTATGTATATATCTGTAGAGAGAATGTATATTTCTGCATGGAGGTCTTTATAAATGTAGCACATGTGTATATATACATACAGTCGACCACTCCCTTCTCCTGGAAGTACTTTCCGCATTGGGCTTTCAGGACACTGAGCTCTCTGGTTGCTCCTTCTCGGGTTCCTTTGTTCAGTGCTCTGCCTCCCTGAGGGCTCAGTCCCAGACCTCTTTTCTATCTGGCTTGCTCCCTGGGGGGTCTCCAGCAACCACATGGATTATACCACCTACATGCTGTCCAACTCCTCAATTTAAACCCAAAATGGGCCTCTTCCCTAAACTGCAGACCCCTATATCCAGTTTGCTACTGACATATCCACTTAGGTCTCTAATGGACATCTCAAACTTCATAGGCCCAAAGCCAGGCTCCCAATTACTCCTGACCCCAGGCTTGCTCCTGATAGCAACATGAGGCAGCCAAATGCCTAGGCAGAGAGGGGCGGGTCCCAAATGAAACCCCACGTTCAAGTGAAGAACAGCGTGAAGGCTAAAAGACCAGACTGCTGGTCCTGGATGAAACCCACCACCCAGAGTGGGAACTTCTGTTCCTGTTTGCCCACCCTTTCCCAATCGATTCTTTCTGAATAAACGCCTTAACCAATCGAATGTTGCCTTTTCCAATAATACCTATAGCCTGCCCCTCCCCCATTCTGAGCCCATAAAAAGACCCGGACTCAACTGTATTAGGGGGACTTTCCCGCCTTTGGGTAGGGGGACCACCCCCGTGTCCCCTCTCTGCTGAAAGCTGTTTCATCACTCAATAAAACTCCCAGCTTTGCTCATTCTTCCACTGTCAGCACATTCTCATTCTTCTTGGGCGCTGGGCAAGAACTCAACCAGTGTGTAAGCCATACTTCGCCCAGGCGGGTGAAGTGGGCGGGCCGTCTCCTGCAGCAGGTAGCATTATCAAGCAAGGCCCAGGCGGGGTGTCACCAGCCAGAGGTCCCTGGCTTGCAAAGTAACCGAGAAAAAAATGCTGTGCCACTCCTTTGGAAAATTTCCCTGATTCAGGAAGAGGCAGCTCCATCATCCAGTTGCTCAAACCGAATCCGTTGGCTTCTTTCTATCATACCTCACATCCAATCTGTCTGTAAGTAATTTGGCTCTACCTTCAAAATATCTCCAGAATCTTAACTGCTTCTCCCTCCTCCCGGCCTCCTGACAGTCCTCCCTGCTTCCACCCCGGCCCGTCTTGGGCTGTTCACAGCACAGCAGCTGCTGCCACCCTGTTACGCTCCCACTCTCCTACAGCCTTTGGTCTTGCCCTAGGTAGGAGCCTGAGGCTGCACAGAGGTCAGCACAGCCCCGCTTGCCCTGCCCTCCTGCCCTCCCGCCCTCCCAGCCCAGCTGCATAGGCCTTGCTGCACACACGCCTCGGCATATTCCTGCCTTAGGGCCGGTGCTCCCACTGTTTCCTCTTCCCAGGTAAGCAAGTGAAGTGCCTCCTTCTGCCCTCTTTCCAGTCTTTACTTGAGTGTCACCTTCTCAGCAAGGCCTGCCCTCATTCCTCTTTCGTTGTTTGTAACCTGCCTCCTGTCCCCCTTCCCAGAACTCCCTTTCCTGCTTCATTTTTCTTCGCAGTGTTTGATACTGCCTAACACACTCCATGGTTTCTTACTTGCCCTATTTATTATTTTTCCCCAATAGACAGAATGTTCCATGACGGCAGAATTCTCTGTTTTGTTTCCTTCCATGTCCCTAGCACCTAGAACAGTGCCTGACACATCTCCTAAGCAATGCGACCAATAAGTGTGTGTGTGTCTGGCTGCCTTCCAGCTGCCAGTGTCTGCCTCTGGGCTGCCAGTGTCTGCTTCCTGGCTGCCAGTGTCTGCCTCTTTCCTGAGGGCAGCGATTGGGGAAGGTGCTTTCTCGCACGTCTTAGTAGGCTGTGCAGGCTGGAAGTGCTCAGAAGTCACACCCCCAGGGAGCAGCCTCAGCCAACAGCACCTTAGGTATAAATGCCCCAGCTCCCTCGCCCTCAGGTAAGCATTGCCAAGGCACATGTTCCACACTCTTTTCCAGAGTTCCTCTGTGGGACTGAGCACCATCCATCCACCCACAGGAGCAGCTAACCTGATAACTACCAGCCTCACCCTCCCTACCTTACTTCCCTGTTCCTCTTTACCACATGCTGACCTCCCAAATGCATTTCTTGCTTTCCGATCTCTGTCTCAGGATTGGCTCCTGGATGAACACAAACACTGTGTTCACAAATGTATTTGGGAAATGCTGGATGAATAATTATACACATCAGACAGATTACTAGAAATGTTCACCAAAGGGATGCACGTGTTACCTCTGCATGGTGAGATCTCAGGTGCTTTTTACCCCACATAGCTATCCTTTGGCAGTTTTATAATTAGCAAATGCTCACCCTTCCACCGTCAGTACATTCTCATTCTTCTTGGGTGCTGGACAAGAATTCAACCGGTGTGTAAGCCAGACTCGGCCCAGGTGGTCTCAAACTCCTGACTCCTTACATAATTTCTACCACACTCATGTAACCTGAAACATGAGTAAACCAAAAATGAGGTAGGCCTCTGTCTTCTACAGCAACATCAGAACTCTAAGAACATGAGGGACTCTTAGAAAACTCTCTGGAGCTAACCACAGTTGGGTCACAGCTCACGTACTGAAGACCAGCCAGAGGGTTCCCCTGAAAAGGAGGGAAACTGAGCAAACATTCTCCAGTTCTCTTGGTGTGCACGTGTTTCAGGAGGTGTGAACCCCACATGTAGCTTATGTAGGCAGGAAGACAAATAGTGCTACTGTCTGGTCAAGGATTTGTTTGAAGAGCCATGATTATCCCCATATGGTAAGCTACCAGTGCTCCGCATCCCTGTAAGACACTTCTTTCTCATTACTTTCTCCTCTGATGGTGTGCCAGGACGCTGGCCGAGAGAAGCCAAGTGGAAAGAAGGCTGTTCAGTGACGAGGAACCTAAGACTTAGTGCCAAGGACTGAAACCAAGTAAACTTGTAATTTTCCATGATGGAAACATCTACGCTTTCTCATTAGTGGCCTTTACAGCAGTTACCCCAAAGAAGTGTCTCATTGTTTTCTTACTACATTTATGTGAAGCATACAGGCAAACTCAGAAAGACTGTGATAAGACTCACCAGAGATGCCTGCACAGGTGCTGGGGGAAAAGCAGGACCATCCTGGAGGGAGATGGTGTCTGTGGACAAAGAACTCTGCAGTGGTTCTTATTTGCATGACTTCCACTGGGGGAGGCTCTGAATATGAGCTCAAACTCCCACGTAAGTGAGTTTTCATTGTAATCCAGAATTTCTTTAACATCAGCCTACTTCTATTGAACTTGCACTATCATCTGTTAGCCTCTACTATATTTATTAAATAAACCTAAATAGGTAAATCACAGTACAGCAAAAGGTTCTGTGTTCCCCAGAATTCTAAATCAAACTCCAAATTCCTGAAGAGGCCCTAGTCGTTTCCTATATGTCAAATTTAAATGATAGGTTTTCATTTTGGAACATAAAGAGAGGGATTTTGAAGACCACAGCATAGCCCTGGGGTTTTTGGATAGAGATAATAAAGAGACAATCAGTTCTCAAACAGATTTGAGAAAATGTCAGTGTGAACTGGTGAAAAATCTGGGTTGGAAATAGTGCCATTTTATTAATTCAGGTCTACCCAGTGGTCTTTATTAAACCTGAATTACCATGAAGGAACCAGTTTCTGCTCTTAGGGAATTTGCTTTAATAAGAACTAATTGTGTATCAGTTACTAGTATCATTTAATTATTATGTATTTATCATTTAATATTTAGGTGATGTAAAAGTACTTCAACACAAGAGAATTGAAAACATGGCCACACAAACACTTGTAAGCAAATGTTCACAGCAGCATTATTCCTAATAACCAAAAAGTAGAAACAACCCAAATGTCTATCAGTCAGTGAAGGGATAAACAAAAAGTGGGCTATCCGTACAATACAACATTACTCAATGAAGTACTAATATATACTAAAGTATAGTGAACCTGGAAGAAATTAAATGCAAGAAGCTAGACACAAAAGACCACATGTTGTATGATTCCATTTATATGAAATGTCCAGAAAACAGGCACATCCACAGAGAAGTAGATGAGGCCGAGTGCAGTGGGTCACACCTGTAATCCCAGCACTTTCGGAGGCCGAGGTGGGCAGATCACCTGAGGTCAGGAGTTCAAGACCAACCTGGCCATGGCTAAACCCTGTCTCAACTAAAAAGTACAAAAGTTAGCCGGGCATGCTGGTAGGCACCTGTAATCCCAGCTATTCGGGAGGCTGAGGCAGGGAGAATTGCTTGAACCCGGGAGGCAGAGCTTTCAGTGAGCCGAGATCATGCCACTGCACTCCAGTCTGGGCGACAAAGCGAGACTCTGTCTCAAAAAAAAAAAAAAAGAGATGAATGTTGCCAAGCATGGGGAGGGTGGGGATTGGGTGGTACAGGGCTCCTTTTGGGGTTAATGGACATGTTCTGGAATTAGATAGTGGTGATGTGTGCACAACTCTGTGAACAGATTCAGAACTATGGGCTAGGTTGGGATTCCTCACATCATGGTGTCTGGGTTTCCAGGGCAGGCATTCCAAGAGATAGCAAGAGCCACATGGAAGCCACATGGCCATTTTTGTGTAGCCCCAGAAGCCACAGCCTCACTTCCATGGCCTTCTAATTGTTGAGGCTATCACAAAGTCCCATGCAGGTTCGAGAGAAGAGGAATAAACTCCACCTCTTGATGGTGAGTAACGAGGTTCTAGAAGGGCACATAGGTCCGGGAATATTACCCTGGCCATGTTGGGAAATACAGTCTCTCACAGATATCTTCCAGCTTTTATATAATACAGCATCATTCTTTAAAGAGCTAGTGTTAAAAATACCAAAAAAGTACAAAGAAGGGGAAAGAATGGTTTACCACTTCCCAAATACTGTATCTATGTATATATATATATCTGTGTATCTATATCTATATATACATATACACACACACAAACACACATATATATATATATTTTTTTTGAGACGGAGTTTCACTCTAGTTGCCCAGGCTAGAGTGCAGTGGTGTGATCTCGCCTCACCGCAACCTCCACTTCCCGGGTTCAAGCAATTCTCCTGCCTCAGCCTCCTGAGTAGCTGGGATTTCAGGCATGTGTCACCATGCCCTGCTAATTCTGTATTTTTAGTAGAGACAGGGTTTCTCTATGTTGGTCAGGCTGGTCTCGACCTCCCGACTCAGGTGATCCACCTGCCTCAGCCTCCCAAAGTGCTGGGATTACAGGCGCGAGCCACCAAGCCCAGCTTACTTTATATATTTTTACGATTATATGTATATTGTTAGGAAAATAACCATGTTAACAATATTTTTGTGTATCCTTCCAGAAAAAAAGTCAGCATTTTATATGCACTTCACATTTTTATTAATACTATATTTTGGAAGTTTTTTTTTCTTTTTCACTTTAGCATGCAAAATCAGCATCTTTTAAAATGGTGACATAATTCCATTGTATTGCCGTTTCATAATGTACTTAACCAGGGCCCTATCGAAAAACATTTAATTCATTTCTGATTTGTTGCTATTGCAACCAATTCTGCAGGAAACATTTTTCTTTTCTTGGTATACGTTTCAAGTATGTTTATATGGTAAATTTCTAGGAATGGAACTGCCAGGAAAAGGGGCATGAGCATTTTAAAATTTGCATAGGCACTAACAAATTACCCAGTAAAAAGACTGATCCATTGTACACTCCTATCAATGATTTATGCATCTACTGTTTGCCCACGAGCTCGCCCACACTTTGTATTATCAGTATTTTTAGTCCATGTCCATCTGATAGGTGAAAATGATTTCTGGTTTCTGTTTGTATTTATGGTTCTTTAGTATGAGTAGTAGTGAGCATCTGTTCATCATGGGAGCCTTCAGATAAAGTTCTACCCTGGACAGTAGCCATTGCTTCCAGCAAGGGCTACAGACGGCCAGGCATGTGTTCTAGCAGTGGTATCTACTGTGGAACCAGCCCAGAGCACGGCTGCCGAGGTGCCAGTTAATACACAGCTGGAATAAACATCCGGAAGAACTCAAAACTCAAAATTCCAAACCTGCCACTCCAAGTGCTTGATCACATGCCCACCCAAATATTAAAAATAATAATATATTACAACAACAGTAGTTTTATTTATTTTTCTTTTTTCTATATCACAAGTCATCAAGCAAAGAAAAGGCAGCAATCTTTTTAAAACCAGACACCACATTATTGACTCAGACCTCTCATAGACCAGATGCCGTTTAGCTCTGGTTCAGTGAAACTGTCCCCGGTCAGATGAATGTGAAAAACTAAGGATGTTTTTAAGAAAGTGCTAATTAAGTGGAGAAGGTAGTTTTAGTAATAGGAGTGGTCTTGCAGCAGCTGCCATTGACTCAACATAGCTTAATTATCATAATAAGCTGATGCTTTCACTTTCATCACTTGCTGGGTTTGGTACAGTTAATTGGGGCATTGGGTAACACCATTTTTTATCATCTTCTTGGCTAGAAATTGCTCCCTTGGGGAGGAGGGCATTTATTTTTTATTCTGAGGACAATCTGTGATTGGAGGAAATAAAGCAGGGTGAGGACAGAATATCCTTCAATTCTTCAGCTCTGCTTTAGAGCACAGCAGCAACAGCGTTGCATGAGCTCTGATGTGTGGCACAGGCATTTGTGACAAGGGCTGAATGTTACGCTGTCCTGAAATTTGTGAATGATTATTCTAATATAAGTTAGATGGCAGAATAATATATTGAGCTATTGGTGTGGGTTTTGTTTTTCTTGTATTTTATTTCTTCTTTCTAAGCTGGCAGCCAGCCTTGTCTCAGGGAGGTTTGGCTTGGGGGCTGAATTCAGAAGTTGTTTGCATGGACTACCTGTTTTTTTTTTTTTTTTTCAGACAAGAGTCTCGCTCTGTCACGCAGGCTGAAGTGCAATGGTGCAATCTCGGCTCACTGCAACCCCCTCTTCCTGGGTTCAAGCGATTCTCCTGCCTCAGCCTCTCAGATAGGTGGGATTACAGGCATGTGCCACCATGCCTGGCTAATTTTTGTATTTTTAGTAGAGACGGGGTTTCACCATGTTGGCTAGGCTGGTCTTGAACTCCTGACCTCAGGTGATCCGCCTGCCTCAGCCTCCAAAAGTGTTGGGATTATAGGCGTGAGCCACTGCGCCTGGCCTGACAATCTGCTTTATGTTTTCTGGAAGCCTGAAGCCTGGGGAAGGATTGGAGATTGGTGGCCCCCAGGCATCCCAGATGGGAATGTGCTCCCTGTGACAGTCCTGTGGCAGGTGCCAGCGTGGCAGGACTTCTGTGGAGAGGTTTTGTGGTGTCTCTCAGAAGGTCAGAGCCTTAGCCTAGGATTCTCATTTTCAGCAAGATTCCTGTGCATCAGCTTGGAAATGAAGCAGCCACAAGCCCTTCCCTGAAGGTGCACGCAGGCTGGAGCCCCGGGGATTTCCACAGCAGTCTTGGTCTCGGGAGAAGAGTGGGCCTGTCCCTGTTTTCCAGGTACCCTCTAACCTCGTGGATTTTCACATATCTCCAGGGAAGGGGAGAGCATGCTCTGTCCTGTTACCACGAATCTAACTTTCATTCCAGGCTCGAGGGTGAGGGTGCCAAAGCTGAGGTAACTTGAAATAAAGAAAAAAAGGGGCCGGGTGTGGTGGCTCACACCTGTAATCCCAGCACTTTGGAAGGCCAAGGTGGGTGGATCGCAAGGTCAAGAGATCGAGTCCATCCTGGCCAACATGGTGAAACCCAAACTCTACTAAAAATACAAAAATTAGCCGGGTGTGGTGGTGGTCGCCTATAGTTCCAGCTACTCGGGAGGCTGAGGCAGGAGAATCGCTTGAACCCAGGAGGCGGAGGTTGCAGTGAGCCACGATCGCGCCGCTGCACTCCAGCCTAGTGACAGAGCAAGACTCTGTCTCAAAAAAAAAAAAAAAAAAGAAAGAAAGAAAAAGAAAAAAAGGACTATGGCAAGTCTCGCCCACCTGCATTTTGGTGATAAGATTCATACTGCACCACGATTCACATAACATTCAAGGTGAACCTTAAGGTCGTGCTCCCCACTCCCTTCCCTGCCAAAAGGCTCTCCAGTGAGGGAGAAGGGGAGGATGTCACCGTACAGCTCCAGGGACATTGCCTATGGCCCTCCCTCAGGAGTGTGCCGTGACAGGAACCACCTGTCCTTGCATCACTGCTGACACAGGATTGGACATCGCTGCCTCTGAGGATGGGGGAGAGATATGTAAGATCTTGTTGCGATTCCTCAGTGGGATCCACCTCATCATGAATGAAAATGCCACCTTGTCCCACAACCATGGCACCTGTTGCCAGAGGGGAAGAGCAACCTGTGAACACAGGCCCTGTTCCTGCCAGGCTGTGTGGGAGCAAGCAGAGGACTCAGGAGGGTGAGCAAATAGAATCTATTCTAGGAGATTCCAAAAACCACCTTAGCAATGAGTCTTCTCCCGACATGAAGAAGCTTGAACGCCTTACTCATCGCAGCAGCTGGCCCAGCCCTGCCCTGCCCAGCCCAGTGCCTCGGGAAGAGTCAGCAAGCTCTGCCTGCGCCTGTGGTTTCGGTCCTGTCCCGACTTGACTTGTCCTGGTGGAGGGTGAGACCTAGAAGCTCCGCTCCTGGGAATGACAGCTGGCACGGAGGTGCTGGTCTCAGCACTCTGCCGCGGCTTAGGCCGTCAGCACGAGCAGATGCCCCTTTAGGGTGGGCCTGAGAACTGAGAACGAGGACTGTCATCTGCTATTTCTGTCCATCTGTTGTCGACCCAGGTAACCAGGAAATATGGGAGGCAGGCAGATTCTGGTTGCTTCCACAGGACTTGAGACTTAACCAGACAACTAACTCTCCTGAATGTTCCCTCTTGGGTGGCACGCCACAGTTCACCCCATCGTCTGTGGTAGACTCAGCATTAGGCACAGTGCTGGTGCTTAAGAAAAGTTTCCATGGACAGGCAGTGTGCTTATTGAGTGCCACCCGTGTGCAGGGCATCATCCCAGGTACTGAAAAGGAGGCCAGGACAAAGTTTCCTGTCTTCAGGGAACTGTCAATCAAGTGGATCTAAAGACACATACCTGAGTGATCTATAACCCGGTGGGTCATAAGGCACATGCCTGTGTTTTGTTTGACCCTCAGGGGAACAAAAGTGGTTTTTTTTGACCCTCAGGGTTTTAGAACTTTATACCAACATTTAAAAATTGGCTACCATCTAAATGGAAAAAAAGGCAGTGTGTGCTTGTATATGTGTATGTTTGTAGGGGGTGTGTGTGTGTGCGTGTGTGTGTGTGTGTAAGGCAGCACTGCAGAAGAACCCGGTCACAGTGATGGCCTCTTCAAATAGGGAATCGGGGAGCAGGAATGGGTGAGAGACTTGTTGCAACGGTTTATAATTTTTTTAATGTAAAATGTAATAACTACAAGTAAAAAAGGATTGGGGAATTCACATAAAAATCCAGGTGTCTGGCTATTCTTGACAAAGCAGAAGCTCTACAGGACTGGGAACATTTTGTCTGGAAACGGGTTGGGGGAGGTCAGCATTAAAGGATTTTCAGCTGAGAGGGGCTCAGATTTGTATTTTAGGAAGTATTTTAGCAGCAGAGTGGAGGAGCACTGCTTGAGGGCGAAGTCAGGGGCAGGTAGACCAGAGAGACACGTCTGCTGCCATCATCCAGAGAGGGGTGGGAAAGGCCTGAACGGACAGTGGCAGGGGATATTCGTGTAAGAAAACCAACAGGTAGGTAACCAATTTGGGGGAGAGTGGAAAAGGCCAGGTGAACCGCCAGGTTCTACAAGGCAGACCACAGTAAGGGCTACAGGATTTTTAAATTAATGGGAGGAGAAAAGGGGGCTCAGGAGATTTCTGGGGGTCTGAACTGGTGCCAGCAGAAATGCTAAAGGAATGTATCTCCCGAAATGTAAGGGAAAACCCACAGAGAAAATGGGCTTTCTGAGTAATTGGCTCCTCTACCCCTTTCCAGGCTCTGAGAGTGTTTTGCAGGTTTACCAGAGAAAATGGCTTCCGGAGACTGCAACGTGAGAGAACTGGAATTTCAGACAGGAATTGAATGCATGTGGCTTAAAAGACAAAGAAGCACCAAGTGAAAAGTAGCTGAAATCATATGCCTTCAGGGAATGAATTTTCTTGGATCTGTGTTCATCCTTTATGGCTTTATTAGTCATTGTGAAAGCCCTTTGGCGGTTGCAAAGCTGCCAGCAGGGTGCTGTTCCTGGAGGATTACCTTGAGCAATAAGCCCCAAAAAGCAGCCCAGGCAGGCATGTCAGCAGGGAGGCTGTCCTGGCAACACTGCTGTCCAAGGGGAGAGGCCGGCGCCCTACCCCTGAGGTTTGAGGCCAGAGGAAGAGAACCAACCTGGAGATTCTGCAATTCTGTTTTCTCTTAAGGTTGCTTTGGCCGTTTAGGGTTTTTCATGAAGGACAGAAACAGGTCCATTCCTTGAAGGCAGAAAGAAGGTATTACTGCCCCTGCACTTGACAATGTTTAATTACATTTGCCACTTGAATCAGAGTTGAAAATACCTTCCTTTTCTTCTGTTGGGAAGTCTTGCTGTGCATCCCCCAGGCTGGCTGGAGTGCAGTGGCGTGATCTCGGCTCACTGCAACCTCTGCCTCCTGGCTCCTGGGTTCAAGCGATTCTCTTGCCTCACCCTCCTGAGTAGCTAGTACTACAGGAGCACACCACCATGTCCAGCTAGGTTTTGTAGAAAGGGGGTTTCACCATGTTGGCCAGGCTGGTCTCAAACTCCTGACCTCAAGTGATCTGCCCACCTCAGCCTCCCAAAGTGCTGGGATTACAGGCATGAGCCACCACACCCAGCTGAAAATATCTTCCCTTTGAGAGTTGGTGACCAGCTGTTGATTTGATACTGGCGTGGCCTCAGACAATCTATGATGTAAGAAAGATAGTTAAAGTAAAATCAACCCAGTATTAATTACTTAATAATAACTAATGAACAGTTATGCACCAATCACCCAGCAAATTTAAATCTACACATAAGCCCAAATGGGTAGATACTATCGTCATTCCCAGTTTACAGGTGAAGAAATAGAAGCTGAGAAACTAACTTTCCCAGGGGCATATATTTAGTAAACCGGAAAACCGAGGCTTTTACCCGGTGAGTTCAACCACTAGGCTTTAATTGCTTTCAGGATCAGAGAAGTCTGTTCTCTGGCAGCGTTAAACTATGAACCCAATACAGAGTGCCTTCAAATTTGGGTTGATATATAAACGTTATTTTTGCCACAGTTGAGGTTGCACCAAGGACACACTTCTGGTGATGAATGGCATGTGAGGGCGCTGGGCTGAGTGGGTGGGGTGACATCACATCACACCCATGACAAAGAGGGAGCAGGTATTTACTGAAGATGCAGGAACCCTGGGTCAGGGCAGCAAGCATTCCTACCTAAACAACTGTGCAGTCCCACGGGGAGACCAAGAGGATGGCGGAGTAGCCTCCGAGGAGTTTCGTTTGGTTCATACAGTGTTGGTCTTTCCAGGCTTTATTTTTTTAATATTAAAAAATAGTTGATTTTAATTATGAAATATTTCAAACACACAGAAAATAATAAAGCAGATACCTAGTTACCACTAAGATGAAACCGCTGTTAATATTTTCCCCTGGCTGGGCGAGGTGGCTCATACCTGTAATCCCAGCACTTTGGGAGGCCAAAGCAGGAGGATTGCTGGAGCTCAGGAGTTCGAGACTAGCCTGGGTAACATAGTGATAGCTCATCTCTACTGAAAATTTAAAAAAATTAGCCAGATGTGGTGGCACGGTCCTGTAGTCCCAGCTATTTGGGAGGCTGAGGTGAGAGGATCACTTGAGCCTGGGAGGTCAAGGCTGTAGTGAGCTATGACTGTGCCACTGCACTCCAGCTTGTGCAACAGAGCAAGACCCTGTCTTAAAAAAAAAAAAAAAAAAAAAAGAAGAAGAAAGAAAGAGGAAGTCCCCCTATATGCTTCAGCCCTCTATCTCTTTAAAGAAACATGTTAGAAATACACATAAGGCCAATCCTGTTCCTTTCCGGCCTCTGCCCCCAGAGGTAATAACTATTATGTGTGTCATTCCCATGCAGATTGTTTTTCTTTTTTATTGTGGCATAACTTACAAGTGGTAAGTTGTACAAATTTTAGTGATACAGTTTGATGGACTTTGCTTACACTATACCTGGATGATGAATTTTTGTATATGTATACACCCAAAACAAGATAGAGGTCAAGATATTGAACATGTCCAGCACTACCTCAGAGAGCTCCTTTGCTTCACATTATTTCAAAAATAAGCAGATGGAGGTGCCAACATTTAAAAGTTTCAAAATCTAGGGATTTAATGTAAAAATTCAAATTTCTGGCTCCCGAAGTTTTGGAAAATATGACCACATTAAGCTCACATTCTAGCATGGGGACAGAGTGGCAGCTGCCCACTGTAGACCCAGCATGAGTGCCCCAATTTGCCTACTATGCCTGCCATGCCCTGTGGGTATATCCAGCCCCCTGCATTCACTTACAGAACCTGAAAGGTGCCCCTCTATTTGTAAAATTTCAAAAGTGCCACAAATAAAAATGTAGAGAACAATTACCTTAGCCTATCTTTAGGAAGGC